GAATTTAGCGATTTGATAGTAAATATATTGCATAAAGTACTCATTATTCTGCAAACATGAGTGCCTGGAACAACAACTATATCTGTTACAAACAATTCTGTGTTTTATCTATTTCTCATATTGAGAAATTCAATATATAAACAGGAGTTTATTAACCTATCCCCTACATTTTCAGACATCTTCGGGTCTTTGCTCCATGATAGGTTGTTTATACATGGGTAGACTTTCCCCTCGTGTCTAGTATCACTACGTTTCAACATTTCGTCTGAACACAGTCTAAAACTTCTCAAACCTTCTAGAAAGCAAAACAATTTCTTGAAAAAAAAGATAATTTTTCACGAAAACCATCATACATTTACTTTCTACAAAGTTAGCCCTATCATCTTGGAGTATAATTTTTATATATCATCTAGACACTCCAGTTTCCCAATTCAATTAAAGAATTCCGAAAAATTAATTTTTCTTAGAAAGTATACGACGTTAAGGAAGTTACGACATTCACCTATCCTTCAAGATTGGTCCTTCCCTGCTTTCATAGCAGTTCATGGAAATGCAATGGATTACTCTTGGGCCAAGGATACGTTCAACATGACATTGTGAAATTCTCCCCAAAGTCAATCATGTTACCAACCCCCAAAGCATAACCACGTCGAAAAGAAAGTTTTCTCAGTCAGCATATGAATCAAATAAGTCTATTGAGTTGAAGTCGCCACTTTCAAAGTTAAATGTTGCCAAATTTGCTTAAATTTGGTCAAAGAACATTGAAGGGAATACTAGTAATCTTTTATTTGGCCCATTCTTTTCAAAGATCCATTTACGAGTAAATCCCTAAATAAATTTTACGTTTTAACCACCCAGAATAGTCAGCAAAATAAATAGCTCAAGGCCATAACAGAGCACAAAGTTTATAGTAATATTATTGTCATACCTAACCATTGACAACGTACAGTGACAAAATTTATGGTTGTACACTTTAGCTGTACATTGTCATGTTTGAAGCAAAAATTAAATTGTGATAGGTTTTAAAAATATAATCTAAAGAAATATAAAGTAGAATTTCATTTTTTATTTCATGTGCATGCTTTTGGCAAGACTTAATTTTCCAATTATGTTAATAGATTCTCGCGCAGTGCTCAAATTTTTTTCTAGGCAATTCCACCTGCATAATTGACCATTGGAAATTGTTCACATGGACATGGGTGGAATTACCTAGAAAAAACTCATGCTCTGAGAAGTTACAATTAAAAAGTTTTTATGTCACCACCAAAAGTGGTGACATATTGTTATGGTCTCCGTTTTTTTGCGATTTTATGTCACCACCAGAAGTGGTGACATATTGTTATGGTCTCCGTTTTTTTGCGACGGTGGTTGGAGGTTGGCGTCTGGCGTCCGGCATCCGGCGTCTGTAACAATTTCTTACAACTTCCTATAACTTAACAAATACTGTTTAGATTGGCTTCAATTTTTTTCTAAATCATCTACATGTTCTCAGAAGTTCAAATCTGACTTTAGATTTGACATTTGACCTTCAATGACCTTCTCAAGGTCAAAAAGGTCTTTTTTCAACTTGCTTCACATTGACTAAATTTTTTTTCAAAATCATCTACATGTTCTCAGAAATTCAAATCTGACTTTAGATTTGACATTTGACCTTCAAATCTGACTTTAGATTTGACATTTGACCTTCAATGACCTTCTCAAGGTCAAAAAAGGTCAAAAAGGTCTGTTTTCAACTTGCTTCAAATTGACAAATTTTTTTTTTCAAAATCATCTACGTGTTCTCAGAAGTTCAAATCTGACTTTAGATTTGACATTTGACCTTCAATGACCTTCTCAAGGTCAAAAAGGTCTTTTTTCAACTTGCTTCACATTGACTAAATTTTTTTAAAATCATCTACATGTTCTCAGAAATTCAAATCTGACTTTAGATTTGACATTTGACCTTCAAATCTGACTTTAGATTTGACATTTGACCTTCAATGACCTTCTCAAGGTCAAAAAGGTCAAAAAGGTCTGTTCTCAACTTGCTTCAAATTGACTAAATTTTTTTTCAAAATCATCTACGTGTTCTCAGAAATTCAAATCTGTCTTAAGATTTGACATTTGACCTTCAATGACCTTCTCAAGGTCAAAAAAGGTCAAAAAGGTCTGTTTTCAACTTGCTTCAAATTGACTAAAAAAAATTTTCAAAATCATCTACGTGTTCTCAGAAATTCAAATCTGACTTTAGATTTGACTTAAGATTTGACATTTGACCTTCAATGACCTTTTCAAAAAAGGTCAAAAAGGTCTTTTTTCAACTTGCTTCAAATTGACTACATTTTTTTTCAAAATCATCTACATGTTCTCAGAAATTCAAATCTGACTTTAGATTTGACATTTGACCTTCAATGACCTTGTCAAGGTCAAAAAAGGTCAAAAAGGTCTTTTTTAACTTGCTTCAAATTGACTAATTTTTTTTTTCAAAATCATCTACATGTTCTCAGAAATTCAAATCTGACTTGACATTTGACCTATAATGACCTTCTCAAGGTAAAAAAAGGTCAAAAAGGTCTGTTTTCAACTTGCTTCAAATTGACCAAATGTTTTTTTCAAAATCATCTACATCTTTTCAGAAGTTCAAATTTGACTTTACAAGTTCTCAGAAGTTCAAATCTGACTTTAGATTTGACCTTCAATGACCTTCTCAAGGTCAAAAAGGTCTTTTTTCAACTTGCTTCAAATTGACTAATTTTTTTCAAATCATCTACATGTTCTCAGAAGTTCAAATCTGACTTTAGATTTGACATTTGACCTTCAATGACCTTTTCAAGGTCAAAAAGGTCTTTTTTCAACTTGCTTCAAATTTACTTAATTTTTTTTTCAAAATCATCTACATGTTCTCAGATGTTCAAATCTGACTTTACATTTGACATTTGACCTTCAATGACCTTCTCAATGTCAAAAAAAGTCAAAGAGGTATTTTTTCAACTTGCTTTAAATTGACCAAATTGTTTTAGGTGGTGACATTTTGTCATGTTAATGCCTTGTTTAAGTCTTGCCAAGAGCATGCACATGAAATCAAACATGAAATACTTCATCATATTCCCAGTCATACTCTTTAATTGTATCATTGATCTCGGATACGGTTTTATCATTTGCCGTAAAGCATTCCAACTGAAATCTATTACCTTTATAAAGGACCAGGTATAGTATGGCATGTGATTTTTGGAAAGGTCATTTCTGACACCATGAGTACTTTCTTGTCATAGATACAGTGGTTTTATAAAGACAATATGTTTTCTTTCAAGTGAAGTCCCCATAATTATAAAGATATCAATCCAACTCTCTGAAATATTATGGATTAGGACCCCTCCTTGTCACTTTTTGAAATATGTTAGTCTTATTTCCTAAAAAGAGGATCTAGTTTTTCTCAATTTAAATATATCAAAAGTTTCTTCTGCACTATATTAACAACTTCTGAAAAAGGGCTGCACTATATTAAAGATTCTCGCAATCTTTATCCAATCAGCGTTTGCGAGTGTGTCGGCTCACATATAAAAGGCGAATCCAACTCAAATCCATGCAGGGGTGTATGAGGTACTCGAATAGGAAAGAGCTCATGAAATCTGAATTTATATGCACATGGTCAATGTTTACACATGTTTGGAGTTATTGAAGAAAATGTGATATGGGTGTGGTTCCGGATTTGAAGTCATTGCTGGAAAATATGATTTTAATACGTGAAATTATATCTATAAATACAGCACTAAAAATAACAGTACACATGAAGTACATGTATGATTGTGTCCAGAAATGTTTGAAACCCTTACGGAAAATTCTGTCTGCATTTTGTCACCATTACTCTTTCTTCCCACATTCTAGTGCTGTTTGAATGAATATATTAATTAATGTATTTCTAACTAAAATATATCACATTTTTTTTATAAACCACAAACATTTAGACCATAAAAAAATTATTCAATACTTGAGTGAGCACGATATGCAAGGATTACTAAGTTGACACAGTTAATGACCACTGATATTGTGTTAGTCCATGCACATAGTGTATTCTGCTATATACATTTGCGAACACCCCCACTTTCATAGTGAAGTGACTTATTGGTTTATGTTTACGTTTTAATGTGTTTTGGGTTCCTTGTTACAGCAAGGGGGGCCAGTAAAGTAGACTAACATGTTTGCATGGCAAATTTTGATCGAATATGTGAGACACTTTAACAACTTCTGAAAAAGGGCTGGGTATTGACATGCAAAAAAAGTTAGAAACCATCCCTTGTTATTTCCCCATGGAGAAAACTGCTATCCATAGTTTTCAGCATAATTTTAATCATTGATCTTCACAACTAGACTTTCAAAATCATTCTAATTTTAAGAAGTGTTGAAAAGATTTGAAAAAATCTTTTCATGCAATAAAAATCAGAAAAAGAAGATCCTCTTTTGTGTAAATAGTTTCAACATTTTGAAAAATAGGGTTATTATTCTTAATTTTTTCGATTAAATATGATAAATATTATATGCGCTGATGAGAATCTACTTGAAAGATAACATATTATGTTAAATAAGAAATGTCATGTTTAAATTGAGAAACTAATGACAAAAGAAATGACCATCTAAAATCATTTGCCATGTTCGGGAGATTTTCATTAGAAAAGTAAGAATGAGTCGAGTCCTGTCGAGATTTCAAAGATCGGCTTTCTATCATGATTCTAAATTATGAAAAACATTTGAACATTTTAGCACATTATTAGAGAGGTATGACCATAAAAATGATGTTAACATGCAAAAATAGGTATATTGATATTGAAGATTTGATACAATTATTCCATATTTATTTGCGTATAATTTACACCCTGGATAATCCCCATGTCAAACACCTTTTCCCCTAACTCAATTATTTTGTCCACTTTTACTCAATAACAAGACATTTTTAAGGCTCTAATTTGCTCTAGTAACTTTGCATTTGAAATATAATATGAATTGTTTAATTTATGTATTTCCAGAGATGTGTAGAGAAAATAAAGCAAAGCAGGGCCAAGTTCATGGACCGCATTCGTAAACTCAAAAATGATCATGAAGCGAATGAATCAAGTCTTGTGAATGACCTCATGGAAACAGAATGGCAGGAAATGAGAAAGGAAAACAAAAGTCTCCCTGATTTCAGATCAAAAGATGTAAGAAAATGTATATACAGGGCGGGCCAAAAATTGTGAATACTTTAATTGTATTTTTTTTTCAAAAAATGTCCCAGAAACATGACACTTCTATTGGAAAATAATAGTCTCCTACACTGTACATGTATATTGTCACTGTTTCTGAACACATTTAAATAGCACCCAAAATAAAAATAAAATATGCATATTGTTTGGTACAATTGAAAAATCCCAGAACTACTTGCTTGCAGTATTTGTTTCCATGACATTTCTCTAATTTTCTCATTTTGAGATGATCACAATGAGCTGTCTTGTTGATTTACAGGGTGCCCAAGATGAGGTCGAATATTTGCTGACAATATTTGATGAAATAGAGAGAGAATTAAAACTGGAAGGTACATTGTTTTATATTTGTTATTTCATTACTGGTTCTCTCTTTTTGGCAGTTGGTGTCTTACTTGATTTGATTGATTTTACAACAAGAAATGAAGAACTTACATCCTTATGCTGAAGATTTGTTGTTAATTGATATAACGTAGCCATGATATAAAAGTATGTAATACAACAGTTATGTCCGTATCATTGAATATATGCCTTCGGTCTGTCGTAATATAACCCCACGCAAGCTCGGGCTATATTGGTGACAGACCTTAGGCATATATTCAATGATAGGGACATAACTGCTAAGAACTTGCCTCTTGTTTCATATCATGTCAAATGAATGTCAAATAAAGCTGAACTGATTTGTTTAAAATCGGACCCCATATAATTCAATGGGGAAAAAACGGATATAAAAAATCTGTACCTGGAATTTGAGCTCTTCAACATGGGAGGTAGAAATATTGTTGTCATTCTGAACTATCGCGTATTAGTCTATTGCTGATACGCTTTGCCTTTTACGGTTAATTTGTTTTCTTGCTGTAGAGAATGGATTTTTGTCTATTGCTGAACTGTTGTTTTCTATCATTTTGCATGTTTTCTGTTGCTGTAAATGTATTTTCTGTTGCTGTACATGTGTTTTCCATGTGTTTTATTTTGCTGTACATGTTTTCTACTGCTATACATCTGTTTTTTCTGTTGCTGTACATGTGTTTTTTATTTCTGTTCATGTGTTTTATTTTGCTGTACATGTCTTTTCTATTGCCAGAGCAAAGACTTCTAGATGAATATGAAGACAATCTCCGTAGTGATGAGACGGAACTATGTAATGCTGTAGAGCGCCTATCAACCACAGAGGTCATCTGCCCACTTTGCCAAAAGTAAGACTTGATTATTTGTCTACACACCATATATTTTTTAATGGTGAGCTATGGTAATCTCTATCTTTTCTGTCTGTCTGTCCATCCTTCTGTCTGTCAAGAATAGTGGTGTGTTTCAAAACTTCTGTCTATGTCTATGTCAATAATCTGCAAAAGGCTAATAAGCCCATAAAAAGCAGATGTCTGTCGATATGATTCTTGCAATTTTTGTTAAGCATCATTAAAGAAAACCCTCTTCTAGTTCAAATGTTCTATTTTCTATTTTCAAAATGGCTGGCATTGTTTATCACAGAAAATTCACTTTTTGAGCAACACTATATGAAATTATGAGCCCAGTACCGAAGGTACTACTAATTTGTCTTATCATTAATTTCAAAAAGTCTAAAAAGGAGTGGTATGGATATGGAGAACTTTTTTTAACACACTTTTCTCTTAAACCAGTCTTAAGAAATATCTAAAAATTTAACTCATCGTCAATTTAATGGTCATCTTTTGAATGGTTACAATATAATTTGAAAAAAATATATATACTTTCATCTATATTGTTTTAGAAAATACATTAAACACTTGTTTTGTTCTTGGTACCATCTTTCCAGAGTGAAATGAAACATCTTTCCGAACTCCATTGGAACAAAACGACATAAACACAACATGTTTTATATATATATGTTTTATATAATATTGTAATTGTACAGAGGAATTTTGGTTGATTTCAAAAAAGTATCTTGTTAATGAAATAAAAGGTTTATCTTGATTTTTATCTATTTTGGGGAATTTTGTTTTAATTTTTTTGAATACTTTTTTAAAATCAACCAAAAATTTCTTTGTATAACTATAATATTGAGAGGTCTAAAAACATGTTGTATATGCTATTTTGTTCCAACCAGGTTCGGAAAGACATTTTATTTCATTCTCAAGAATTGGTAGAAAGGAACAAAAACAACTGCACTATTTATTAGTGTTCATTGTCACAGACTTTATTACAATTTTTTTGTTTTAGACGTTTCGAATGCAAACTGCATCCATGATCACTAAATTTAAATTGAAAACAGTTTGTTAATGTTTATGACATCATTAGAAATATGTTGTTCTATGTTTATGACATCACTACAAGTATACTTTTCTGCATGGTTACAGTTGTTATGAAGATTGTCTTTTTCATGATGACATCATTAGACCTGAATCAAGTTGGGAATGTCATGTCTCTTTTAGCTGACATGGGTGATCTATTGTAATTGCTAGCATGTCTGTCCATCTGTCTGTCAGCATATTGGTAGCATTATTTGTAATCCTCCATGACTATTCAATTTTTTAAAATTTTGAAATGTGTCTGTTTAAAGTCTTACTTGTCCTGTAAGTGGCATCTCAAAAGCTCAACTTGCTTCAAAAGTGATTAAAGATACAAAGGATCTGTACCCATTAGTGTACCTATAAGGACTTAGAAATTTTTTGAAAAGAGTAAAATTGAATTCCAGAATTATTTTTATATAATATGATTCTTTATGAAGTATATTTTCAACAAATCACAAAAAATAATATCTAAAATATGGTAAAAAGTTGTTTTTTACAGTGATTCTTAACACATGTCATTCTGACTCTTAGAATGAGTAATTTTCACACATTTTCACAAAAACTTGAATAATTTCTTGATTTTTGTAGATACACTTAAATTGACTTGTCATTATAAAGCTAGAATGTGTCAGAGCATACTAAACTTCACTTTGCTGATCTGTCATGCATAAATACTTTGTAATCCTATTGTTTTGAATGGCACCCTATTGTGTTCTTGTTTTTAACAATGAATGACCTTCTCCAGTCACTGACAGATTGAGGTGCTTCCGCAGGTCAGACCCCCTCTGATTTTACTTTTATTATTTAGTATTGACATTATTGCATAATTCAAACATGAAATAAGAGAGGGTCCTGTCTGCGGAAGATACACAATGTGAAAGTATACCATAACTTTTAGTTTGAACAAGGAGGCCATATTGGATCTGCCAGTCATCAAGGCTACAAACTATCAAGCAAGAATCAGTTGGGTCAATCTAGTTTTGATTTATCAGTCATGCCTGCCTCTGAAGATGATATACATTGTAGAGGGACTGAATTAATATTCATTTAGTCATTAAAGGGACACTGCTTTTAAGGTAGTTCTCATCCTCATGAACACAAAAATATTTTAAACAAAGAATCAAAAGGGTCAATCTACTTTTGATTCATCAGTTATGTCTGCCCCTGAAGGTATATTCCCAAGGGGCTGAATCATTATCCATTTTCCCATTTAAAGGGACACTGGCAGCTTGTTAGGAAGTTCTCATCTTAAGAAACTTATGGGATCAATCTATTTTTGATCCATCATTCATGCATGCACCTAAAGATGATATATTGCTGAGGGACTGAATCAATTTACATTTAGCCATTTAAAGGGACACTGCTTGTAAGGTAGTTCTCACCAAAAGAAACAAAAGACACCTGCCACGAAAGATGATAATTGCTGAGAGACTGAATCAGTATCCATTTAGTCATTAAAGGGATACTGCTTGTAAGATAGTTGTCATCCTTAAAAGGCTTTAAGCTTCAAAAGTTTATATCCAAGACTATCACTGTATAAGTTTCAGCTGAGACCTGCTTATTTTATGCAAATTAGTTATTTTGAAAAACCTTTTATTAATATTCTTTGAAATGCCACATAAATATTTCATATATTGGAAAGTCACAACTAGATTTGTAACATTTGAATTGAATACCTAGCTTTTGTGTTCTCAATAAATTGCCTTGCATCCTACCTTTAAAACTGATGTTTGAATATATCCTCTAAATTGAATACCTAGGTTAAACCTACTGTATACTAGCTGAGGTGATCATGGTACTATTGCTAAGAACACCTTTATTAAGATTCATCGATATATTACGTTTTAGGGGTTATTTTATGATTTGTGTTTTCAATATGTTGCCCTCTGTGTCCCACCTCAATCATGTTTGGATATATTTTGCATAGTCAAACTTAAATGCACTGAATGTCCTTAGTTTTAATCCCAATGACCTAATTTCGTTTTGGATATGTTCATAATCGATAAAAGTATCTATTTCCATGTTATTTTCAATGAAACCTTTGGGGGCATCTTTAGGTAGATTGGGTAACGGATTCTTTGTCAACCTTATGTTAAATGGGAGAGCATTGATATGTTGTATGTTTTACACTGTGTCTTCATGTGAGAATTGATTTGTTACTTATTCATTATCATTTAACATTTCAGGCAGCCATTGATGGAAAACAAAGCCGTGATTTTCTGCAAATGTGGTCTACGAATAGATACTCAGGTAAATATATGCTACACCGGGGTTCGTTTTTGGTATGATAGTAATTTAGGATTCAAAGAAAACCATTGTCTACTTTTTGAAGAAAAATGACTTGCAACCAATTCATAAGTTATAACGACAAACAGTTATAACCATCAATGTGTCATATATTACAGCAAAACTGCACAGGTCTAACCATCAATGTGTCATGTATAACACCAAGACTGCACAGGTCTATCCATCAATGTGTCATGTATTACAGCAAGACTTTACAGGTCTAACCATCAATGTGTCATGTATTACAGCAAAACTGCACAGGTCTAACCATCAATGTGTTATGTTTTACAGCAAGACTGCACAGGTCTAACCATCAATGTGTCATGTATTTCAGCAAGACTTCACAGGTCTAACCATCAATGTGTCATGTATTACAGCAAGACTAAACAGGTCTAACCATCAATGTGTCATGTATTTCAGCAAGATTGCACAGGTCTAACCATCAATGTGTCATGTATAGCAGCAAGACTACAGATCTAACCATCAATGTGTCATGAATTACAGCAAGACTTCACAGGTCTAACCATCAATGTGTCATGTATTACAGCAAGACTGTACAGGTCTAACCATCAATATGTCATGTATTACAGCAAGACTGCACAGGTCTAACTATCAATGTGTCATGTATTACAGCAAGACTGTACAGGTCTAACCATCAATATGTCATGTATTACAGCAAGACTGCACAGGTCTAACTATCAATGTGTCATGTATTACAGCAAGACTGTACAGGTCTAACCATCAATATGTCATGTATTACAGCAAGGCTGCAGAGGTCTAACCATCAATGTGTCATGTATTACAGCAAGACTGCACAGGTCTAACCATCAATGTGTCATGTATTACAGCAAGACTGCACAGGTCTAAATACCAATGGTTCATTTATTATAGCAAAACTGCACAGGTCTAACCATCAATGTGTCATGTATTACAGCAAGACTGTACATGTTTAACCATCAATGTGTCATGAATTACAACAAGACTGCACAGGTCTAACTATCAATGTGTCATGTATTACGGCAAGACTGTACAGGTCTAACCATCAATGTGTCATGTATTACAGCAAGACTGTACAGGTCTAACTATCAATGTGTCATGTATTACAGCAAGACTGTACAGGTCTAACCATCAATGTGTCATGTATTACAGTAAGACTGCACAGGTCTAACTATCAATGTGTCATGTATTACAGCAAGACTGTACAGGTCTAACCATCAATATGTCATGTATTACAGCAAGACTGCACAGGTCTAACCATCAATGTGTCATGTATTACAGCAAGACTGCACAGGTCTAACCATCAATGTGTCATGTATTACAGCAAGACTGCACAGGTCTAAATACCAATGGTTCATTTATTATAGCAAAACTGCACAGGTCTAACCATCAGTGTGTCATGTATTACAGCAAGACTGTACATGTTTAACCATCAATGTGTCATGAATTACAGCAAGACTGCACAGGTCTAACTATCAATGTGTCATGTATTACGGCAAGACTGTACAGGTCTAACCATCAATGTGTCATGAATTACAGCAAGACTACACAGGTCTAACCATCAATGTGTCATGTATTACAGCAAGACTGCACAGGTCTAACCATCAATGTGTCATGTATTACAGCAAGACTGCACAGGTCTATCCATCAGTGTGTCATGTATTTCAGCAAGACTGCACAGGTCTAACCATCAATGTGTCATGCATTACAGCAAGACTGCACAGGTCTATCCTATCTATCTCAACAGTTGGCTGAAGGGACAAAGATACACAGTGCTGAGTGTGATGAAACTCCACAATTTTCCCAGCTCTCTCAAAGACAATTAGGAATAGAAAATCTCATCATGTCATGCAAGGTAAGTCTAGTGAGAATGTTATCGTATATATAATACATATATCTCATACTTGAGTGGGTTTGGGGTAGACATCACCCGGGAATATATGTCATATCTGAGGAGCAGGCAGGATATCAATATAATTGTTCTTTGTTCGTGCAGTGTAATGATGAACTGTTGGACTTCTTTAGACGAAAAATTAAAAATAAATCTCAAAAGTTAGGTAAAATCCTGTAAAAACATGGATAATAGACACGAAATTTGAGTGATGAAGAAGGAGCTACCAACCTAAGATTCAAAAACCAAATCGATGTTGAGGATTTTCTATCAAGTATGAGATACACCAGTTATGTACGGTCGGTTTAGGATATACATGTAGGGTATATCCCCCGGGAAATATTTATATCCCCTCGGTCACTCAGGGAGATATAAATATATCCCTCAGGATACACCTTACATCCAAAACCTCCCAGTACATAGCCCTTATATATTGTTATTACTTTAATGTAGGATATCATCATCATATTGTTGGGAAAATTTTAACTGAACCATCGAATACAGTTTTTAGACCATGAGATACATTATCTGATGTTGAATAGATTTTTATCCCAACGAAAGAAGTTTGGTAGGGATATAGTGAAGCCCTTCGTCCATCCGTCCATCCAAATGTTGGTCTGAATTTATCTTTGTGGAAAGATTGTATGCTTCAGTTGCTCTTTAACAAAACATGTGGGACAGTGTATCTATATATTACAAGACGTCCGTCTGTCCGTCAGTCAGTCAGTCAGTCGGTCCGTTTGTCCGGAAGATAACTCAAATACAAGTAGACAGATTTTCTTCATATTTAGTGGAAAGATGTATATTGGTGAATAGTTTTACGCAAAAAATTTTTTTTCAAGATGGCCGCCGCTTTAAAAATGACGGGACTTTTTCGCAAAAATCATAAATTTTTCATTCTGAACCAAAGTAATTATATTAATATTATTGTTTGAAATTTTGGTAGTATATTCACAACATTTGTCTATTTCACATATATTCCTTGTTTTTCATCCTGACCCCCAGGGGCCGTGTATTGGGGGGACAGGAAAACAAAAATTTTCGCTAATTTTTAGATCTTTCTTAAGTATAGCTTTATTATACTCAAATGAAAGGCAATTAAGAGTAGATTACAAATATTGTATCTTTTTTCTGATTCGAGCCTTGTAAAATTCAAAATGGCCGTCTAATGTACGATTTCGCAATAATTTTTCGATCCCTTCAAAGTATAGCTATATTATACTCAAATTGAAGGAATTTTGGAGTAGATCACAATTATGGTATTATTTTTCAGATTTGTATCTCAGAAAATTCAAAATGGCTGCTTTGCAGGAATTCGCAATTCTAAAATCTAATTTTTTCAATTTTAACCAAAGTAATGAGTATAATTGATTGGAATTCGCTAATTGATATTTTGTTCGTTGGGATTTGCTACTACGCAGAGTTGCCGTTATCTAGTTTCTACTTGACTCAAAATGAGGCTGATCGTAAGAATGTTTTGGAATGTTTTGAGAAGCTCCCTTTAACTATGAAAAAATAAAAATGTATGATGTACTCATAGTCATAATGTTATTTTTATCCACTCATGGATGTAGATATTACTCATTAATCATCACTCCAGTATAAACACAAATAGAATTTCTGTATAGTTTGCTCTCTAGATCTGATCACGAGCATTCTGTTCTTATCCCTTGATCCGATACTGCCTGTAATCAGACGTTCTATTTGTTAAGGCCTTAGCATCATGAATTGTAATGGCCTTAAAGACTTATTTATTAAAGATGAATGCTTTTATGTTCCAGTCATGTGACTTCATGTTTATCATCATATAGACAATATAGAGGGACAATGTAGATCCAGAGGAACACAACAGAGTACCATGAAATATATTGTAGCTCTATAGGATGACATAGCGTGACACTACATACATGTAGTTCCATGAAAGACATTGTAGGTCTAGGGTTACCAGGCCCGTAGCCATGATTTGCCAAGGGGGGTTTAGTTTTTGAAAAATTCCAGGGGGGGTTCATTTGTGACAATCCAGGGGGAGTTTGCTCGAACCCATCGAACCCCCCTGGCTGCGTTACAAAGTAGTTGCATGACACTACATACAGTACATGCAGTTCCATGAAAGACAGAAGGGAGGTTAATTTACATGTTTTTAGAGAACCTGCATGAGAGCGTGTAATATTTGGACCTCGATGAGTACTGTCCCAATATCAATTTACTTTTCCATTGACCTAATTACAATTATTTTTTTAATACCTTTAAACTCACTCATTTAAGTAAACAGTACAAAAAAAAACAATCCACAGAGGACCATACTTCTACATGTACACGTACAAGTTTTTCAACAAATGTCTATCTAACCTCTGTATTGTATCCAAATATATAAGTTATTGAATGATTTGAAGTGCAATACAGAATATATCCTGTATTCCACTTCAAATCATTCTATAACGTTTTTATCATGTGATCCTTGGCCAATAGGTTTTACTGAGGAGATGATCCCTGGGAAATATTCTGTATTCTCTGTATTGCTACTGAGATTGTCTCCTTAGTATATTAATATTTTCTGTATTGCTACTGAGATTGTCTCCTAACAAACTATATTAATATTTTCTGTATTGCTACGAAGATGATCAATACGGACAATCTCAGTAGCAATACATATTGGTACAGCACAAGAACTGACCAATCAGAGGTCTTCATTTTACAGATCATACGATAATAGTATTTATTTTAAGCAGTATTTTAAAATGAATTTCTAAGCTTGTATTCGCAAATGCAACTAACGAACTCATATTTAAATGAGTTACCCATAAAATAGGAGGTTAATCCAGTCATCGACAGACATTAGTTGTATTCGCGAATACAAGGTTAGATTTCAATGAAAATGTTTGATTGCCAAGTCTGAACAGAAACAGTTCAAGAAAATTGTTTACTTTTGTATTTGAATTTAAGTTGAAATATATATTTTTGTAAAAAAACATTAATTTTGTTATTATCGTTGAATACCTGTATTTCTGATTTTCTTTGGGTACTTAGGTCTTGCATTCTGATAGTTGGGAAAAACCAAAGTGAAACAAAAAATATTTTCAATGAGTGTGAATGGTGCGGCGATTGTGAACAAAATCAGCTATATTCTACATGTATAGATATTTCGATATAATGTTTTATACAGTCTGTGGCAGTCACCTCAGCTCTGACTGCGTTTTTCGAATTTTCTTGGTACAACTGTCTTTTGAGCAGGTGTCCAAGGCATCATGTTTAACAACTAACTAACAATAGGAGGTATACATACACAATCTCTTCATTCTTTCCTGAAAAAATGAACATAATTGAATTAGTATTCTCCAAAATATAGCGATTTTCCATTCACATTTTAGTATTTTTCTAATACTAATGTCTTTTGAGCAAATGTCCAATTAGTATTAGTATTTTTCAAGATATAGCGATTTCTTTGGGTTGCGTTTATTGAACAGTTGTAATATAATGTACATGTAATTGTGATATACAGCACAAAACACGGTAATTTAAAGCAACAATGACTATTATGAAATCAGAATGAAGGAACATTGTGGTTAAAGCGTGTACACATCTTTCTCCTAGCTTTGATTTGCAAGCAGAAAAAAAATAGCCAGAGCAGAAAAATATTGCCCAACATTTACAGGAATTTATTTAAAAATATTAATTGTGTTATTTTTTTTGATACTATGTCATTCTGGCTTTTTAAAGTTAGTTACCATACGTTACACAAATAACAATCCAAAATCATTAGAATGGAACGGAGGGGGGGGGAGTAATATGTGTATAAGGCGGAACTTTACACAAATTCTTGTATTTGAAAAATGAACTCAGTAACCCAGTAAGGAACTGTATGTTACATCTCTGTAGAGTAAAAGAATGGGGAAACTCTTCTAGACATATTACTATCTCCCCTCCATCCTGTTTTAATTATTTTCGATTATTGTTTATATAACGTATGGTTACTTATTTTATAAAGTCAGCAATGGCATTACTTTTGCTATGATAGCGTCACTTACAAATATTTATTAAAGGTCGTGTAGACTATTGTTGGTTGATTTTTGGCAAAAACACTGACTTGTCCACGTTGGTGGCCTTGCACCTTTTTAATAGTTTTCATATCTAAGAAACGTATCGGTTCAAAAAATCCTAGAAGGCCTATCATACTTAACCATGCAGTGCGCCTATCCATTCAGCAATTTTTTTTTGAAAAAGAAAACTTCAAAATTTGTTGAATTTTTTAGCAGAAATTGCCTGCTCCCCCTCCGTCCCATTTCCCGATCACCGGGGGTTTGAGGATGGGTCCGAAGCTTGATGAAGCAAGATGGGGTGTATATGGCTAGCTTGTAACAAAATATCAGCAACATCCACGATGCCTTGAAGTATAGTAGATCTAGAGCAAACGATACAGAACATTTGAACATACCCTTGTATCAGCGTTTTCAAAGCTGATTTGACTAGAATGAACGCTAAGACTTTGCGTATGAGTTTTTTAAAATTGTTTTATTATCCGTTTACAGTCAAATATACTAGTACAGTATTTACACAAATACAGCTTTGCAATACTCTTGAATACTCTTGAATTGAATACTCTTTTGCATAGGCCAAGGGAAAAGTAGTATTAGCGTATACTAATTTTCCCTTGGCATTTTTGATCGAAACTACAACAGCGATCTGAAAATCAGAGAGCAATGTACAGATGCCATATTATATACGTAATATCATATGATTTCGAATGATATTGTTTTTATAATTACACAATCGAACGCAGCGAACGAGCACTGCTCTTGAGTTCAACTATACGGGGCTGACTTTGACCATCGGTGTTTTATTACATCCAACATCATGATATGATCTTTCTTGATTCCTAATTTTTATTAACTCGTGTATAAGTGCATTAATGCACTTCTGGGGCCTTATTTATTGAGCTCTCAGATATATAGATAAAACCCCAGAGTTCAACGAGTTAATAACAACGATATCAAGAAAGATCATATGATATCGGATTTATATCACCACAAGATGACACTGCAGTCGATCTCTTAATTATGTATCATAATGTATTCACGGGGATAAGCAAAACGAGGGCGAAGCCACGGACTGCGACTCGCGTAATTCAAAACGAGGTTACAACGCATTATAGCTGAACAATGGCGGTAAGTCCAAACTTAATTTGGAAGGCATGTTAGGATTTGGGGTAGATTATTGGCTTGGATATTCTACACAATAGCTAGTATGTTCCAGTCGGTGATCAACATATTCATACTCCACCTGCAATGGCATTCTTGGTGCTCGGCTGTCCAATAGTTTAGCATTAACACAAATGAATTCGAAATCTGCCACTAAAAATGTAATTTTGTCAATATTTGTCCCTAATATACCGATTTAAACAAAGGAATCAGAAATGACATCGAATAAATACAATTATTCATGTTCTGTTGTTACAATTACATCTTCGTGTGATATTTGGTAAGCGGAAAACGTACAATTACATAGAAAATTGGAATTTATAAAAGTCGCAGTCCATCCATCTGCCCAACGCAGTCCGCGACTCAGTGTTGCTTTATATCTGAAGCTGAACGCAATCACAGCCAAAGGTAGATAGCACAATGTGTGTACAGGTGTGGCCGAAATGGAGCAACTTTGGACAAAATTGAATACAAAGGGCTATTTTAATGGACCTACATCGTGTCTCAATCCATTCTGCAAATATATACAAGCTGTCAAATACAGCTGAAATCATGAATTTATGGTAGCTAGCAATATTGATGGACTGTTGGAAAGATCATCCAAAATTACATTAACTCACCAACTCTCCAGTTATTTGATATTTTCCTGATATCTTAAATACTAGTTAATGTACCCTTCCCCAACAGCTTTCATTGCATCATCAAAAAGTTAATTGTTTCGCATTTCTACTTCTTATAAAAAGTCTCACTACTATCCAATTATTTATATATTTAACCCTATCCACAAATTGGTTTGTAATAAACATATAACGTTGTCATCTTGCGCTCGACTGTTCTGCCAAATACGCTATTGAATTGCCATATTTCTAGGTCTTAAACGATACAATATAGCAATTTGGAACATTGATTCAGGTAATAGATATATGTTAATCGACGTAACTTTGAATGATAATCTGGATGCTGACTTTCTTTTCCTGAATTACAATAATAGCGTAGGAATATAGTTTACACTATCTTATTTATTTCGTGTTCGCGGCTGGACTGCGTTGCTTAGAATATCAATGGAGGCTGTGTTGCGTTGTTGAAATAGCTTTGTTTACTGGACTGCGTCCACTATGAATGCGCAGTTTGAATCTAATTTTCTCCTCATGAACACATTCTATTATCAAATCATTTTCACGAATTATACTCGGAGCCTCAACTAACCTTTAGATATCAGAAACGTGTTAAAACTCCTTTCAAATGTATAGTAAATTAAATAATATGCACATATTTTACAGGTAAAATCAGAACTTTGCTACTGTTTTAGCTTGATCTGGACAACTGCTTATTTTCTTATCTACAGACCAACAGTAGATACAGAGTAATATTTTGGTCACCGATTAGACACTACGATAGCATTTAAAATACCTGGATTTCTCTATTTTGTCGGAAGAAGCAGAAGGCACTGCCGGATGTCCCTCCATTTTGGCGCTGGGCTGCGGTGTAAAGTTACGCGAGTCGCAGTCCGTGGCTTCGCCCTCGTTTTGCTTATCCCCCGTGGTATTGATACATTCACCACATTACTGCCATCTTTATATTGACCTAAACCTATGTACTATCAAATATGTTATTTCACTAATATAAATTCAGGCCTATACCCAGCTTTTGCCAAGGGATTCACTTTTTAAAAGATTCCAGGGGGGTTTGAATTTGACAATTTTGTCCCAAAAAATGGCAAAAATCATTTGAAAAGTTATCAGAATGTTGAGTACGACTAGCCATCCATTGTATTTCAGGTTTAATCCAATTATGGTAAGTACCCTAAAGACTCCTCTAAACCAGTTCCGAATCTGTGGCTATTTTCACTTGTCCTTGGAACCTGGTCTTCAACATTCAAGTGGGAAATTGCTGATGCGATTTCTGCGTCCTTTTTCTTGTTAAGTAGTAACTTTTCTCCTACAAATTTGTCCTTAGGAGAAACTCCATCCGTGTCGTCTCGTTGGTACCGATTCACAAAATTACCTTTTTTCTTTGGACCGAATTGCCAGTTAGATTCATATTTAGTTTGTGATGTTTTAGGCGCGAGCTTATTTTGTTTAGATTGTTTCTTCATATCGTTTTTGAAGTATGTCTCTTCCTCGCCTTGTGTATGTGGACGTTGGGAATGAAGTGCACTTACTGGGACCCGACTTGCTGGACTTTTACTCCTACTGCGCCTCTTTGGCTCATTACGTTTCAGGAAATCTGGATTCGGAGTTGTGTCAACATCGGCTGTTGGAAGTTTCGGTAGTACACGAATTCCACCAATTTTGTGAGGTGTTACTTTTGCTATTGGCCTATCTTGTTGCCGTTGGCTTTCCAATACCCTCATGTGATCAGTAAATGGCTCATAATTGATATCCTTTTCTTTGACCGAAGTTGTCTCATGGATACCTGATTCTTGAGGCGTTTTATAGTTCAAATATCCGCCAGCAGATGGCTCTGGTATTTCTTGATATATTGACGTTTCGTAGTTAGGAGAAGTAGAGTATTGACTGTCATAAGAGGGCCCTGGGTTTCCACTGTTTGGGTTATGGGCCCGTGGGTTATTAATCTCCCCATTTCCTCCACGATTCCAATAATCAGTCTCTGGACTGGGTGGAGGTTGGTCGCTTATTTGAACTTTGTAAAATGGTTTTCCCGGCGGTCTGGTAGGTCCAGGGGTAAAATGTGGCATTACAGGTGTCCTTGTCATACCTGACGGACCATATCCTCTAGGAGTAAAGTTTTGCTGTACGTGTGGATTAAACTCCCTGTGTACGCCTGGAGTCCGAGGGGAATACCCTATTTGAACATGGGGTCTTGACACACCCGGCGTGAATTGTGAATGGGGCTGACCCATAGAGTTTATAATGCCATGATTATATCCCATAGGGGTATAAGCACCCGATACCGATGGCGTTACCCCTATGTAATGTTCTGATGTCGGTCTGGCTTGAAATTGAAAATGTCCGTGTCCATCATTATCTGTTATTTTAGTGTACCTTGGTGCATTGGGACTAAAGGGCTCATGATGGTTTTTCAGAGGAATGACCCCATTAAGCTCCTGTTTACCATCCCCATTGTGCATTCCATCACTAGGATGGGGGTTTTCATTCCTGGGGGGTGAATAGGGCCTTGGGCTTTTGGGTCCATTATTATTCACCGCATGACCAGCTCTTGTGTTAATATACGTATGGTCAGGAAATTGACCAATCGGTTGTGGACGAGCCCCATGTGGCGGTGTGGTGCTCCCGTCATCCTCATCCTCATATCCGGGCTCGTGGGGACCTACCCCCATAAAGCTGTATCCCTGCCCCAGGTTGACTGTCTGTTCTTTACCGGTAGGAGATATAAATCCTTGATTTTGAAATTCCTCTATGTTTGTACGTTGTGTGTTTGCACTATTCAGGTCACTTCCAAAAGGGAGGTTTACATAAACATTATTTTCATTTTGACCCTCGGGTTGTAATTGTGGTTCCAAATTCCTAGTAATTATGGCTTGATTGCTGTTTTTATTGCTCATATCATTGCTGTATTGCTGAGCATTTTCCCGGCCAACTGATTCTATTCTAGTTAATTGTGATGTATAGTCATCATGACCACCTGTTACTGGAAAGGGGTATGTAATACCAATAGGTACACCTCGACGAGTTTCGCCGGCATTATTGGACGGCCCTAATTGAGCATTCATCAACAAAGCTGTCGCCTCGGTGATTGGATGGCCAACCGGGGAATGATGAGCACTCGGGTTTGGCAAAGGGTCTGACGCCATTCTTAACCTTCTTTGTGAATTCGTTGGTGACGTACCTTGTTGAGAACTTGAACTCCCTTCGCTCGCATGTCGCATACCAGGCAAACCATCGCGACTCTCATTTGATCCTCGTTCATGATGACCATGTGGAATGTCATTTTGGTTAGCCTTTTGTGGCACTCGTTCACTAGGTGCCGACCATGGATTATAATCAAACACACCCGGGGCCACATCTTTAAATGCCTTTGCAATTCTGCTTAAACCTTTAGCTATACCCTTGGCAACATCTTGAGATTCGCATATGTAAGCGTGACAATCAAGTGCCCGGAGGCCAGAACTCCTTCTCAGAACCAATGCAAATATCGCTGGATGCTCTAATTTCGTTATGAAGTTCATTTTCTTATCAATATCAAAGTACATATTTTCAAAATTCATCACAACCTCTTGGTCTAACGGTTCAAAAGCTCCCTTAAATTTATCTCGTTTTGCCTTGACTGTTACAAATTGCACGGCATGCCAGAAGGGGATATCGGGAATGGAATATTGTTCTTCTTTGTTAAGACTGGGGCACTCTATGGATAATCCCCTATCAGTTAAAATAAGATGTCTTTCCTGTACTTTTGGCGAGGTCTTCCTATATGAAAGATAAAGTTCTGTCAGTGGTTTCTGGACCATACCAGGACCAATGCCACTAGGTTTAACCGTGACGAAGCCTATGTATTGCACGTTGAACGATAAACTCTCAGGGGACGACATTTTGGATGAAGCCCTTCAGATGCAGTGTGTTCGGATATAGGATGCTGGGCCTCAGCGAGCTGTTCACTGGAATCATGAAGAATAAAAGTCTAATTAAATAGTACATATAGGAAAGTATGGTTTTCATTTCATGATCGTTCATATGTTATTAAAGTCAGATGGCATATTCTTCGAACACAATATTGCAAACATCATACACGTTCCTTCCTTGAGAGTAAGATGCATTGACATTGTTAGTCCTCATTCAACTATGTACTTATTCTTAATAAATATGTTTTACATTTTAATTATGTAATTACACACATAGGCTACATATATCAACTTTACATTTAAATTTAATGAAATTCAATTATTAATGTATGTGAGCGTAGCGAATGGTTATTGAGATTGACGAAATATGAACAGGAATCAATGAAGGAACTTTGCCAGAATATTGTTTTATGTAGGCGGTCATATGGGGTTTTTGCCAAATCCAGGCAAACATTTTTTTTAATTCGGTAGGTATTTCGGAAAATTACAAGCCTACAGTACAGTAAATTGTCAGTAATGTTGGTAATATGCATTTGATGATGTTATGTCATTTAAATTATATGTTTCTCTTTTGCAATGGAATTTTTGATCGCATTAAGTATTTGATTACTTCTAAATCAAATCTCACTCCAAAAGTTTTCAATAACTGCGTTGGCTTGAGCTTTGAAGGACCATTCTAAATAAAAGCAAAGATTGATTATATACTATATTCACACAATCTATAATAATGTCCTAACAACTTCTTTTCATTTTACATTTGATAATGAATATGTTTAGCTTTTACATGCAGGCCCGTAGCCAGCTTTTGACAAGGGGGTGGGCACTGTTAAAAAAATCCAGGGGGTTCACATTTGACAACCTTGGCCCAAAATCACTTGAAAAGTTCCAAGAATGATGAAAACCGCATGATTTAGAAAGAACTTTAGGACAGTCGCTCGAACCTCCCCCCATCCCTGGCTACTGGCCTAACAAGCCTAACATGTATGCCCTTATATATCTTTTAAAAGTGTCACCTTTCTCACATGCGTGCTGAAGTTTCCAATGTGTGACACAAAGGTAGTATAGAGTTTTCATGTTTACAAGTGGCTGATTTTATCAGTTTAGAAGAGTGCCCAAAAGTTAAAACAAATGCTGGTTTATAACACCAAGGACGTCCTTAATTGATAACACGCAATCCGTGTGTAAGGTGACATACACATAGAAAAATACTACAAAATAAGACTCGATCAGTGATTCGTGAATCTTTAGTATAACATATTAAAGCAATTGGTATATGATTTAGTACTTGAATTTAAGCTGATTTAAGCTGATTAATTTCTGCTAGATCCTTTTAAGTAATATTTGGAGGTCAAATGAAAACAGCTAAAACATTATATTATAGAGTTATCGAACCGTCACATGAACTCCAAATTATAAGACTTCCTGCATTACTTTTTTAGAATTCAAAGGTGGAATGATGAATCATTTTTATGAATAGCTATTTGAACAGTACCGACAACTTCATCCCAGACCCTATGATCGTGTTAAACCGTGGTTAAAATAGGGTCAAATTGTACCATTCACCTTTACCCGACATGTGTTTAATACACCCAATCAATGTCTTGTTAATTAGAAATAACACCGAACTAGAACACATTTTCCTAATTTAATTAATTAAAGAAAACATAACCTCGAGCGATTTTCAATGATAATCATAATTCGATATGATTACGTACCCGTAAATGGAATACTAGGTTATCAAAATTTTGTAAGTTTGCTTTAATTAATGTGAAATAGATTGCAGACAGAATCGAGAAAGGGAAAAGCACAAAGCAAATTTTCTTTTTAAAAATACAATAAATTAAGAAAACCATTTAACACAGTGGAGCCAGTAGACTAGTACATGACACTTGTTTAAAATGACGACAAATTATGTGTACCTAACTTGACTCGCGGCTCTTATCATTGATTGTTCTTTGATAGCTCTATTAGTTATAAATTACACTGCTATTTCAGTCAAATGACTTAAATTAACATTAAAATAAATGTGACAATTATTTTGTTGAATTAATTGAGAACATACCTATCTCATTTCGTCAGCCGTATCCATTGGGGCCTGTCTGTAGTTAATTCCCAGCACAATCATCCCTTAATCAAAACACACTGCACGTCCTTTGGAAATCTGCTTAACAAGTTGTCATTAAGATTTTTCTGAAAATGAGTAAATTAACTCATTTTGATTTTATCCGTGTCACCTTATAAACTACACGAGACTCGCCACACTAAATCGGATACTAGACGAACGAGTAAAACGTATAATGCATATAAAGCTATACATATAGAAACTGGGCGTGAATTGTTTAAATACAAGTATTTATGCTAGTAATACGCATAAGAGAACCTTAAATCAAACTTACCATTTAAATGTATAGAAATTTTCAAACCGCACGCTCTTATTTACCTGGTTAACCATCTCATATAGTGATATTGGCCTTTGAATGTTTTAAGTTTTAACCTTCATTCAAAAACGTTTCAACCAAACAGGCGTTCTAAAGTTCAGTAAGGACGTATTGGAAATGGGAGAACTAATGAGGGGGTGTATTGAGTGTCCTACTTCTTAATTCTTGTTTTTAGACCTCTTACTTTTATATTCAATGGTAGTCTTAAAAAGTAGCGAATTTATTGATCGGCCGTTGTTTACCCATTTCTGATTTATTTATGTTTCGAAGGCCCTGATACACGTACTTTGACTCTATAGGTTAAAAGAGGATGACTCCAGGGTACAGGGTGAACCCATAAAAACTAATCATTATGATGAATCTGAGTCAGGTATTTTGTGATTCGTTCCATAGCGTCCTTCTCAGACGTGGAATCATTCAAAATGCAAAATATTATTAATAACTGTATTCCCAAAACATAATAAGAAATGCATTGCTGACAATTAAACATTGGCAAATTAATTTATTTCATGAGTACACTGTAAGTAGACTACATGTTTATTCATAGGAACTATGTTGATAGAAAGATGGCAGTCATGGCTTTAAACCAGCAAATACAACTACAAAAAGACAATTGAAAAATACAAAATATAGCACTTTTTCAAAGTGTGATGTAGGTATTGAAATTTGATTAAGCTTAAAGGTACAGTATTTTGAGTTACAGTAAAATTTTACAGCAGATCAAGGTGACCTTGTTCGCATAGTTTGAAACTGACATCAAATAAATAAAAACCAAACGCAGATCTTAACATTGTTCAATCCCCGGGGTTCAATCAGCATAAGAATGTGTTGGGTATATGGGTACCGTAAAGACTTGGATCTTTTCTTCTCCTAGGCAAAGAGTAAGCAAATCTTCACATCCGGGATGGGTGTCACGTCGACCGTTGATAACCTTTATCAACTTGAGTTAGGCCTAGCCTACTTCTAATAAATCTAGCCTACTTATCATTAACTTATCTCAATTACTGAAGTAACTAAAATCATATAATTTCACATCCGACAACGTTCCAGATAAAAAGAACTACTTGTACATTTTCAGTCAATTTTAAATGGTGATTAATTTATTATCTTCATGAACATGAAAAGTAGCTTCCCGAGTAAGCTTATGTTTGGTGTTTGGTGCTGCGAATGATGACCGTGCGTATGTCAATGTCTCCATGGTCTAAATCTACTGGTTGAGTAAGTTACTTATCATTTTGAATATTCCTAGGATTATTTAGGATGACCATTACTTGGTGTTAAATAATGTCCCTGTGACCAGAACCCCCCCCCCCGGGGACGTTCTAAAGCCGGTCTAGACATACTTTTTTCGTTCAGTGTTTGTATAAGTTCGCCTCTAATTCTGAAGATTTTTGAAATGATTTCAAAAATATATTTAGACACAAAGTCATAACAAAGCCAATATGTGCGAGGTTTTAAGAGACAACCTAGATGATCATATCCAAGATATAGCCGAGAGCATTAAAACATGTTGTTTTATAGGTAAGCATAGTTTTTAAAGCCAAAATCTTGACTTATGATGGAATATAAATATATTATCGCCCATTCATGGAAACATTTCAAAAACATAAAAATTCTGAATTACACCACTGGAAGTCATCCCCATATCTTTACATTATATGTACTAACATGTAATAGTATAATGGATATAAAAAGTGGCATGACAGATATCAATCTGATTGAACTTGTGATCGTGATGAGGTTTGAGACCTGTTCAATTATCAAGGTGCCACCCAGTTTCACAACCAGGTGGCTAATTCGGTTCAGATAACAGGGGAGATAGAGTCTATTAGACAGGGCTGCCCCTGTTCTGATGAGTTTGATTATGAGGGTTTCACCTTACATCAAAGCTGTGGCAGCAATAGCCTTATAGAAGGCATCATGGGCATTCAATAGAAGGGTATGCAACTCTGTGTTATTACATGAGAACTTCAAAATGAGCAGTACCATGCTTCCCTTTTTTGGTAACATCTAAAAAAGATTTAGATTAAAGTATATGTTTTTAGTATTATCTTGAAGAAAAATCAATTTTGAATATGATTAAAACATGAAACATGATTAATCTCATTTAAAAAAAAAGCAAAAATACCAGTAAGGAAAAGATGTATCAAAATGTTCTCTTCGAGTGTTGCATTGTGGGTAATTATTCAGGAACACATTCCAATAAAAAATATAATTTGTGGGGGAATGTTCAGTTTCATTATTGCCACAATTATGATGAATTCCATTTTCTATTAAACTAGAAAAACAGCAACTCCACGGAGTAGCAAATCCCACCGAACAAAACATATTATGCTTATTATAGCTAGTGTAAATGTAGAAATGTTTGTGCACTTTGTGATAGAAGCATAAAATTTGGCACAAAGTTAGTTTATACCATTGTGAACTTGGCATCATTATATAAAATTTGAACCAAATCCATTCACTGGTATATGAGTTATCAAAGATTACGTTTTTTACAAAAATTGGCCGCCATCTTGAAATTCAGCCGCCATCTTGAAAATTATTTCTTGAACAGAGCTACTGTGTCCCTAGGCATAATCATATAAAATTTCAACCAAATCTGTTCACTGCAGCTGGTATTTGAGTTATCAAAGATTACTTTTTTTACGAAAAATTGACGCCATTTTGAAATTAAGCGGCCATCTTGAAAAAATTTTGTCGAACATAGGTACTGTGTCCCTAAGCATCATCGTATAAAATTTGAACCAAATCCTTTCACTGGTATTTGAGTTATCAAAGGTTACATATTTTCACGAAAAATGGCCGCCATTTTGAAATTAGGCGGCCATCTTGAAAATCTCTTTTTGTGCGAAACTCCTTTGTCCCTAGGCATCAGCATATAAAATTTGAACCAAATCCGTCAACTTGTATTTGAGTTGTCAACGATTACATTTTTTACGAAAAATGGCGGCCATTTTGAATTGAGGGGCTATATTGAAAATTCCTTCTCGAGCAGAGGTCCTACACTCATAAGGCATAAGCCTATAAAATTTGAACCAAATCCGTCAACCGGTATTGGAGTTATCGCCCCGGACACACGAACGAACGGACGGATGGACGAATGGACGGACGGCTTCTCTATATCCCCCTCGAACTTCGTTCGGTGGGATAATTATCAGCGTGTATGCAGATAATCATGTTTTTATTTTTGGGTTATTTCTTAAAATCATACATGAAAAGCACAAAACAAGTTTTTCCTTGGAATGTATATAGGAAGCATTTCTTCTCCAATTTTGAAAACCCAAGACAATGCTTATGTATGAAAAATATGGGAAGTTGCCCACCCTTCTATTGAAAGCCCATGAAGGCATTATAAGTATTTGTTGATTTTTAAACTTTGGATTATTTCTTTCCAAATGTAATGTGCAGTGAAATCTGTGTATATTAAATATTTTTGCCAAGAAAAATGTTCAGTGTTAGTAGGTGTTCACTACAGAGCATACCCAACCTGCAACGTAATAGAGACTCTTGAGCATTTCATCTTAGTATGTGAGAGATACGAGCAATTACGAGGCAACATTCGGCGCATTCTTAATAGAGTATCCAATGGCCCACCTTTATCCAGAGCAATGCAGATGAAGATATGTTTTGGAGGAACTACAGTAACTGACCTAGATGATTTAAAACTAATTTCTACAGACGTTCAGAGGATGTATATTGCAAGGGCAGGGGAGTAGTTTGACATGTGATTGGCACTCAGGAGCATTAAATCTATATTTTAAACATACTTAACGCCGATGACAGTACGTTATAACACGACCTTTGATATATGAAAAAGGCAATAATGACCATGAACATAGTATCTATTGTATTTTGTACTCGTATATAGTACTTTTTGGAAGAAGTAAATTTCATGCAATGGCAAAGGGAAGTATGTATTGTAATTGGCAACGAGATGCATTTATGTGATATCATATTTTATTGTTTTAATCGTTTCAACAAGTACGACAGAAGTCAGAATGATGTTTTAAATGTGGCCCACTTCTCAACGAGGGAAGCATCGACCTTGGGGAAGATGTCCACCTGAGTGGAGAAGAAGGGCCATGAATTCAGCGTACCTTGTGTCAACATCCAAATCTTATATTAGATATTATATTTTTATATTCATTATATTTTTGTCAGACAATATTATTAATTATCTCCAATAATGGAGGGAAAATAAATATAATAATAATAATAATAATTCAGAGAGGGTTATTATACAGAAGTCAGTAGAGTATGTGTGGAGAGAGAGGTGTTCACAAAGACAGGTTTTCCTGTAGATCTAATTGCATAGAATCTTCTTTACCAGTAAACTGCATAAATGTATTCCAGCTATTGATACTGAGTTTAGTGGATTAAAGTCCAGTCTTGAAACAAAGCCAAGTTTGTTTGATGATGGAGAAGAGCGGTACAGGAAATTACGTGGAAGCTCAAGTCAGTTCCTTATTGTTCAGTTTGGTAAGCTATACTGTATTTTAAACCTCCATCTTTCCTTCATTCTACGTTAGCTTTAATTTGACCTAATGCAGTCATTGCATCCCTTATGACATACCAAAATGGGTTGTAACTATGCTACGTATCAGTGTAGCGACTGCATGTGCTGTATGCAGGGTAATGCCTTTACACAATGAGTCATGATGAGTATGATTGATCTAGCATTACGTACAATACACCAAAAATCACCTTCAGCTGCATTAAACTGAATTGAGAATATGACATGTTTTATGTTGTGAAAGATTCATTCTCTTTCTTGTCAAAGAACACTTTCATTCTACAAATTCACATTTACAGATTTAGTAATCATGATGATTTGTTATAATCTCTTATTTCAGGACTCTCAATGTACCACAAGCTGCCAGACAAGAACAAGTAAGTCCAATAAGACGCCATGAATCTAAAAACTTAAATGATCTCACTGAAAGAGTGAGATCTATTTCAAAATCACGCCTTTATTCAAAATGGCCACTTAATTCAAAATGACTGCCATTTTCCATAAAAATAACATTTTTGGCTATTACTTGGAGTCTTTGATGCCTATTCATCAACCTTGATCGTATTTAAAGTATTAATACTTTTCAGGTTTACAAGAGGGAATTTTGAAATCCACTTGAGTGCTATTTTTTTACACAATTATGCCTCTTCTTTATTATATGCATATCTACCGGTAATTTTATTGTAAATGAGTAATAGGTTCCAGGCCTCTGAAAGATTAAAATGTTTTACCCCATCTGCATGTACATTTATATTTGTTGTAGATACGAAGCTCACACATACAATTTCTACCTGTACCCTTCATCCTTTGGACCTCGAGATGTTCGCTTTCTTTGTCAGGCTTCTAGTTTTGAGTTCCTATGCAAGCACAACTTTGACTTCAACAAGGTATCGGAAGTCTTCAATTATCTATAACAGCTTTTAGATGTCATGTTAGAAGAAGCTTTTAGATGTCATGTTAGTTATATACATGTAGTTATGATACAAAATGTGTCTGTAAGCTCACAGTAAAAAACATAGAATATTCTAGTAGCCTTTGGAATCTGTTTATTATCCCAACAAATGAATTTCAGATGTAAAGACTTTTGTTTGTCTTTTTGTAAGTTTATACCTTGTAGTTTGTGTACAATGGTATTCATACATTGACTCATTTTGCCTCTGAATTATAGTTTGTGTACAATGTTATTCCTCTTTGTATTGTAGTTTGTGTACAATGATATTCATACATTGACTCATTTTGCCTCTGAATTATTGTTTGTGTACAATGTTATTCCTCTTTGTATTGTAGTTTGTGTACAATGGTATTCATACATTGACTCATTTTGCCTCTGAATTATTGTTTGTGTACAATGTTATTCCTCTTTGTATTGTAGTTTGTGTCCAATGGTATTCATACATTGACTCATTTTGCCTCTGAATTATTGTTTGTGTACAATGTTATTCCTCTTTGTATTGTAGTTTGTGTACAATGGTATCTCATACATGAATGAAGAAGAAGAATGTGAAATGAGGAGACACATCTCTACAGGGAAACTCTTCCAAGGCTTAGACAGGTAAAATCATCTACATTCTTTTCCATGTACTGCCAATTTCATTTCATTGTCCTATTATAGTGTCTTTGTACAATACATTGGTATTTAATGTTGCCATACGTCACTCGATGCAGTTCATTTAATGTACAGGGTGGTCTTAAAAAGTTGAACTCTTGCAACAAGCTATGTTTCCCTTACCTGCAGGAATCTTTTCATATTTTCACATTTTGTGGAGGAAGATCTAACATTTTTATTGGAATCATTCATTTTTCGAAGTCTTGAAATTTGCAGAAATTATAAGCCCTAACCAAACATCACTGAAAATCGATAAAATGTGAACTTCAACATTTGCGATTCTTCAACCCTTCAACAATCTTCCTGTGGAAATCTTTTTAGACAAAGTCTGAATAACTTATGTTTTCTAACTTTGTTAAGTTTTGAATCCCGTACATTATGGTGTAAAAAATAGCATCTTGGCTAAATTAGTTGCAAAGTTATTGTGATTCAAAGAAATGGTCTAAGTTTCCCCAAGACAAAAACGTCTTCCAGTGAAATTACAACATACCCCTATATGGTCTTAAAATGTCAATATCTTCATTAATCATGGACCAATTCTAATGAAATATGGCTCAAAACACTGAATATTAGATTTACTTTTGATTTTTGTAAGATATCTATATGAAGGGCTTCTCAGATTTTGGGTCACAGGGGGTAACTTGCCCCCTCTAATCATTTGTGTAGGTAACATGCCCCTTAACTGTTGAATGGTTAAAACTGCTTCAAAATGAAAATGTGAAATGTGTTTTTTTCCACTTAAGTGTCCCGTTTGTCATATGGTATGGTTTAAACTTATATCTCTCACTGTAAGCTTTTTAAGATCATCTAATGAATCACGTTGGTAAAATTTTGCACAATATCTAATTTTAGGCATGTTTGTTCTTGTAATTTCTTCAAAATTCAAGACTGAGAATAAATTGTGGCATCAACAAAAGTTTTAGACCTTTCTCTAAAACATGTGATAATATGAGCCAATTCATGCATGTATTAAGGTAAATATAGCCTGTTGCAGGGGTTCACTTTTTTTGCACCACACTGTACTAACTTGCCACTTAGGCTTGTACTTATTCTTGAAATGAACTTCAAATCCATGTTCAAAGTATCAAAGTGCTATCTTATAGGGGATGATAAACACCATTAGACAGACATCATCGTTTTGCGATAATCATTTTAAAAACTACCAAATATCAAACAAAATAAGCTGATAACCAAACTGTTCTTACTATAAACTGACTAGTTTTACTCTCACATTTTTATGTTGTTTCACCTAATTGTGTAGTTCTATATGAAATAAAAGAGAGGAATATTGTGTTGTTGTAGAGAATTTGAAGAGAGAGAGAGTTACATGAATGTTGTTTTGTTGTAGAGAATTTGAAGAGAGAGGGGGAGTTACATATATGTCGTTTTGTTGTAGAGAATTTGATGAGAGAGAGTTACATGTATGTCGTTTTGTTGTAGAGAATTTGAAGAGAGAGAGAGTTACATGAATGTTGTTTTGTTGTAGAGAATTTGAAGAGAGAGGGGGAGTTACATATATGTCGTTTTGTTGTAGAGAATTTGATGAGAGAGAGTTACAGGAATATTTTTTTGTTGTAGAGAATTTGATGAGAGAGAGTTACATGTATGTCGTTTTGTTGTAGAGAATTTGATGAGAGAGAGTTACATATATGTCGTTTTGTTGTAGAGAATTTGAAGAGAGAGAGAGGGAGTTACATATATGTTGTTTTGTTGTAGAGAATTTGATGAGAGAGAGTTACAGGAATATTGTTTTGTTGTAGAGAATTTGATGAGAGAGAGTTACATGTATGTCGTTTTGTTGTAGAGAATTTGATGAGAGAGAGTTACAGGAATATTGTTCAGCAGTTGCTGTGTGGCTGTCAAAGGCGAAAGATGGTGAAACTTTTGATCTGAATGTGGATAAAAGAAATGGTAATATCTCTCTTCTAATGCTAGACACCTATTGTTTTACAATGTTTTTTTACACATTAATAAATCAAATAAATGCCAAATAAAACTAATGACATTTAGTTCAATATGATCATAATTTCAGTTATTTATGGTTAATATATACCAGGCCCGTAAGTCACTTATCTCCAAGGGGGGTGCGGTTTTAACTAAAGAGAAAATAAAATTGTCAATTTTTTGCCGCGTAAATCAAATTGTGTAAGTCAAAGGGGGGGGGGGGGTCGGTTACTTCCTATATTTTGCAGTATTTTATTGTTTTCGTATTGTTTTTAGACTAAATATTGTATGAGCAATTTGAAGAAACACTGGAATAGGGGGAGGGTGTACTAGAAGGGCATAAATGCCCGAGAACTTTTACCAGTTCAAGATCACATTCAGTGATTTCTGGACCCTTTCAATTTATCTATTTATAAGAAATTCATATTTTTCAATCATTTTCTTCTTAGGGGGGCAGCAAGGAAAATTTTACTAATTCAAGATGCTGTCTGGTTAATTCTGAGCATTTTTAATGTGTTTGAGTAAATGAATGCTTTTAGTTTTTGGGGTGGGTTGCCAGAAATTTTTATGTTTTTATGATTTCATTATGTCACTTGGTGACTTCTATTCACTTTTAAAGTGTTTGAAATTAACAGATGCAACTTCCAAACTTGTGAGGAGTGACCCACTCCCCCTAGAAAATTTTTCACTTTTGAGATGCCATTTGGTGCTTTCTGGGCACTTTTAAAGTGAATGAGTAAATAAAAAATGTGAATTTTTTTCAAATTCTTTTTGGGGATGTCAAAGAGAATGAGAGGGTGAAGTGGGGTGGAGTGCCAGAGGGGTAGCAAGGGGTTGTCCCCAAGAAACATAATGACCATATCAAGGTGCCATTTGATGATGTCTGGGCACTTTAAAAATGTCTGAGACAATACATGAAATTCAGAATTTTCTCAATTGTTTTGTGGGGGATGTGAAAGGTGGCCAACTCTTCTAGAACATTTTACAATTTTAAGATGATATTTGGTGCTTCTGGGCACTTTTAAAGTGTATGAGCCAATCGAAAAAAAATTGAAAAACAATTACATTCATTTAAATTTTTGGGGGTGTCAAAGGGGGATGCCAGAGGGGGAGGTGGGATTAGGGTGCCAGAGGGGGAGCAAGTGTTTTTCCCCCATATCTGCCCCCAGAAACATTGACCATATCAAGATGCTTTATCTGGGCACTTTAAAAGTGTCTGAGACAATGCATGAAATTCAGAATTTTTGTCAAATGTTTTGTGGGGGATGTGAGGGGTGGCCTACTTCCCTGGAAAATTTTACAATTTTAAGATGTTATTTGGTGCTTTCTGTATGACTCAATAAAAAATTTGAAAAAAATCAAACAATATTTTGGGGGATGTCAAAGGGGGAGGGGTGCAGAGGGGGAGGTGTGGTGGGGATGCAAGAGGGCGAGTAAGTGTTAGTCTCCCAGAATCATTGACGATATCAAGGAGCTATTGGATGATGTCTGGGCACTTTACATGTGTCTGAGATGATACATAAAATAAATTCAGAACTTTTCAATTGTTTTGTTTTGGGTGTGAGGGGTGGCCCACTCCCCCTAGAAAACTTTACAATTTTAAAACGCTATTTAGTGCTCTCTGGGCACTTTCAAAATGTATGAGTCAATTAAAAAATTGAGAAAATCACAAACAGCATGGGGTGTCCAGGGGGGCGAGGGCGCCAGAGGGGGAGGTGGGGTGTTGTGGGGATTACGAAGGGGAGCAAGTGTTAGTCCCCAAGGGGTGGCTCACTCCCTCTAGAAAATTTTACAATTTTAAGATGCTATTTGATGCTTTAGTGTATAAGATTATGCAAAAAATTACAAAAAAATTATTTTTTTGGGGGGTGTCAAAGGGGGGTGCGGTCGCACCCATCGCACCCCCCCCCCCCCCCCCCCCCCCATCTGACGGGCCTGTATACTGCTGTTGGTGAAAAAAGACATGATTATGTTTTTCAGTTTTCATACCCATAAGAAAATATTGTCACTACTTTTAGATGGAATTTAGACTGGTATATTAGAATATGGCAATGTCTGTCAAAAGGATTGTCTTTGTGGTGAAAATAAATCATTTGTGTTGATGGTTTGAATCCCCCTAAAATACCACATAGGCTTATAAACATTGTACATGTATGTGATTTTCATGGAGTTCATGCATTGACACACTTGTCATGTTGTGAAGATAATCACATTATATATGATAGAACTGTTGAAGCTGACAGCACTATCCTAAGGGCTTATACGCTGTATATCACTATTATGTATACTCATTCTACCAGGAATGTCAATCCTGGTAACAAATGGATTCACATTTAGGTGAATTTTGGATTTTCATCATCTTAACCAGGGTTCAAGACTAAGGTCGAGAACGTGATTACCACAATTGAATATGTAGGCACTTAGTCCATTACTCAGTAGGCAACCAGTCCACTGCCAAGAGCAAAAAATGTTCACCATTGGCAGTAAGGCAGCTGTGGGTTTTGAAGCCTGATTTTCACTGAGAAGGAGGTTGATTTGTATTCCAATACCATACCGTAGTACAATGTTTGTATGTAATGTTTAATGTAATTTTCAGATGTCATAGAGTATATTGTTCACATGGAACTGAGGCAAAGGTTTGACACTGTCTGGACCAGACGTCAAGGAGACAAGGTACAGTTAGACCTGTGTAACACCTTTGGTACTGTAACTCAAATGGGTATTCAAGTTAAAAAGGGGGGGTCGTTTGTTTATATGTCTTGTCAAAGCGTCCAACAGAAGAATCAAATTTAAGTTCACTTATACTATTATTATTGCAAATATTTACTAAGCTAGACATTAATTATATTGATTACCTTGATCCATTGTTTTCAGATATCCTCTCGCTTTTCTGTTAATATAATCCTATTCTATAATCCTTAATTTTTATCCTATTACACCCCAGTCACATTTCCTACGGCGATCTTGCAGTCTATCATTTCTGCGGCCAGTAACATTTTCTACGCTTGCCGTGGAATTTCTGCGCTCTCATACTTTTGCAGTCACATTTCCCACGGCAGCCGCATGGTGATCGTGATCGTGAAACATTCACAAATAATGATTCAATCGTGTTGAGCCAGTTGATTTCTACGGGGACCTCAGAAATGAACAAATATTATAACTCCGATTTATAATTTCTACAGCGACCCTGCGGCCTGTAAAAAACTGGATACGCCATACGGAGGCCGCAAGGCGAGCGTAGTTTTCCTACGCTCGCCGCAAAAATACACTGATTTAATTGATCTGCGGTTGACGCACGGCCTCCGTACGACAAATGTGACTGGGGTTTTAGAAACGATTTTCAGTTATTCGAGTGTGCTGTAAAATTCCTTAAAATCTACAATCCTTTGCTCAATTAATCCTCAATTAATCCAATCCTCAATTCTATCCTATTAAAACGTTTCACTTATTCGTATGGTATATTCTACTTAAAATGCTATACAAAGTTAAGGCGTTATAAAAAAGTAATCCAATGGCTAATCCTCAACTAGTATTTTCACGGTAATTGTTCAAAACGAACTGCCCCGTGCAAAAATCACTCTTTGCATAAATACGGTTTTCAAGAAAGGGGAGGTCCAAATTCGGACACAGCAATATGATTGGAGGAGGGGTAATTTTGATAGACACTTTGGTCTTTCTATACCCTAGGCCACGTGTCCACAGGAACCTGACAAAGGAATATATGAATGCCAGGCTGATGTAGGACGGTCAAAGTAAAAAGGGGGATTTCTGCCTTGGGCCAAATTCAAGTTTTACCATTTTTAAATGTCCCTTTCTATCTACTGTAGTTAAACATACCTTAATTAAATGGATCAAGGTCATAGTTAAGTATTACAACATGAAATTATGACATGAAAATTACAGCATAAAAATACAACATAAAACACTGACACAATATCAAACTTGGCACTTTTAACATGTTCCTTCTAAAAAGCTAGTTGCGATTAAGGCGATATGCCCAGTAAATAAACATTTAGGCAAGATAACATTTGCATTTTTTTAATGAAGTTTCGTGCATGTAATCACCACACCTGTATAGGTTTGTTCTTTCATTGTAAACAAAATATGAGATACGGAACGATAGAACACTGTTTTATAATTAATACAACATATAAAATTAGGCACTTACATGCGCCTTCACATATAACTTTATATATACTTTCCTTAATGCTAAAAAATAAAGAGTGTCCCTTCAAAAGACAATAAATGGGCGTGCCAAAAAGCACAAGTTTACAATATAAAATATAATACTGCCCATATGCATAAAAGCACAAGCTGTTTATCGGTTGGACACAATTCTATATTCTTCTGCCATTAAGTCAGTAGTGCAAGAATTCAAGACATTAGCTTCTAAATGTTAAACAAAAGTTTTCAGTTGAATCAACAAAAGGTATCACGAGAAGAGAGCAAAGGGATTGTTACAGCAAAATCAAGTGTCCGAACATTTTGATTTGTGTGCACTAATAATTTCTAGCACTGAAATAAACTTGCAGATAACAGTGGAGAAAGTACCTGCATGTGAAAAACAGAAGCTAGAACTTACTGATGATTTCTCACAAGTGAAACTTGAAAATAGGTAGGCATGTCAATTATTTTTTACAATTCTGGCTGCCATTTAAGCCATTTTTCAAATTGACTTACCAATTTGAATCGTTTCATTTTTCTTCTTTAAAAGAGACTTTCATGTACATCTACCTAATACTAGACTCTGACACTCCGATGACTCCCTGATTATAAGGACACAAATAAGATTACAATGTACCAGTGTTTCAAAGTATACTTAAATATAAAATATCAACAAGAGCTTAACAGTTAAAAAATGATGACACATCAAAAATGGCCACAATTTATCAAGAATCCAAGATGGCCACCATGTCTTTCAAAAAACAGTAAAACAACAATAAAATTAATTTTTAACAAAAAATCTGCAAATCCACGCTTGAATTGCTAAATTATATGCTTTTTTCTCAGGATTATGGATTCTCTTCTTGGTTTCACAAGGATATTCCGACTGCTGATACAACATAAAAAGGTAAGAGAAGTCTTGATAAAGTCAATTTCTAGTTCAATAAACATGATATTCATCTGTAACTTGGAATATTCTGGAAATTGGCTTCTAGTTTACAAGTCAAAGTATTCACTGATACCAGCCTTTTTATTATTGTGATGTGTGATTGCATCACTGTTCAACATTCTATCTACTTACTTCATGTATACATGTATAGACTTACATGTAATAAGGGCTGATATTCATCAAAACATTTGTCAAGTGGTAGTGTTTTATGTTGTACTTATCATGATGGTCAATCATTTCTCAATTTGCAATTAGAACCTTGATCCATTTTCATTAGGATATGTTTTATTTTAACCCTTAAACAGTAAAGTTACACAGAGGGCTGGTGCCATTAATTTGAAGAGTGAAAAGAGTGAGCATTTAAACATTAATTTTTAAATTAGACAGAATGGAACCAATAAATGGCATCATGAGAAGGGAACAAGGAGATTACTACAACAAAATGTTCATGACATTTTTTGGAAGTTAATAGCTGGGACATTATTTATCAGCTAAAGACCTGCACTGAATGTCTAGATTATTTGAAATTCTTCCAGGTAGCATGAATTATTAGTACACTAAAGTTAGGAAAATGAAGGGTACAAAGACAGGGAGGGAGGAGGGGGGGGGGGTACTCCAAGATTTGAGACTAGTTAAATCAGAATTAAATACTATTGAATCAGGTCCAAAATAATGAAACTAAAAAGTTCTTTGATCAATATGCCTGAGCAGTATTGCAAATTATATTGCATAAGGTCTTAGAAGAATCACTCACACCTCATACTGAAATAATCAAGTGATAAATCCCTCTCATAGAAAATATCAATTTAAAGAAACAGTACATTTCCCATTCTGGTATGCCAGAGCCCTTCTTATCTGCCATTTGCGAAGGATAAAGACAAAGGGGGTGCGGCTATATCGCGATGTACATTTCCAGGTCCATAAGTTACCTTTTGCCAAGGGGTTCACTTTTCCAAAAATTCCATGGGGTTCACATTTGACAACTTTGGCTGAAAATTAGTTGAAAAGTGCTCAGAATGGTGAAAAACTGTATGATTTTAAAATGTTTTTTTGGCCAAGGGTTGGGAGGGGGGGGGGGGGGGGTTCAGTCGAACTTCTCGGATCTGCATAAAAATTTATGTTACACTGGTCCCCCTTGATTTGCTTCTCCCAAGCAACTATAAGGTTAGTGACAACAACTACTACTCAGGTAGGGAATGGCCTCAACATACATTCAGGGGATAAGAGTGCAAGTGGGCTATAAAGTCTGAGCTTGTTTCCCACTTGAGCAAACACGAGGTGCAGACAAGTGGGTCGTTTGCAAGGTGCAGGCTTTTGTGGAACTCATACATTTCGAGTTCCTCAAAAGTGATCCTAGATAAGGGGCACCTTAGATTGAGGACCAATTTTGGATATTCTACAAAAAAAATTGGTTTTATGTGCATTGTCGTCTGAATCTGTAGACGTAGAGGGTTCTGGGGAAACCTGTCTTTGTGGCTGTGGGGACTCCTGCCGATCCCCTAGTTGATCTGATTGTTTGTTCGGGTGAACTACATCGTTCTTGTTGTTCTTTTTGTTCTGGTTCTGTAATAGTTTCATTACCTAAGATGATTTCAATGGTGATAGGTTTTTCCTCTTGTTTTGTCGTTTTTGGTGCAGGCGCATGCTGCTTTAGGTGTTTTTTGAAGTTCTTCTTGTTGGCGAGCTCTTCCCCACAAATTTCACATTGGTATACTGGAAAACATTAAACGGGGGTCCCATGAGTATTAGACCCTTGAATAATGTGTCATCCTGTTCAAACAAGGGCAGTCTCTTGACATTGAATCAGGCCTGAAATAAATAAAATTGGAAAGTACTTGATCAATATTCCTTAGCAATATTGGAAATTATATTACATGGGGTCTTAGAGATAGGTTCAACCTATCCCCACTCCAACAAAAAGCAATTTTGTAAAACAATTTGAAAAAACATTAACAAATTGTATTTTGAAATGCGAAGAATGCGCCATGTATAATGTAAATTAAAAAAAATTTTGGGGTTGAACCCCCTTACCCCCGCAGTTGAAGAGTCCAAGAAACATTGTCCGAGGCCACCAGTCAATGCCTTGAATTATTTTGAATTTGTTCATTTCATGTAAAACTTTTTAATATCCCAATACAGGAATACTTCTGTTCTAATGTTGAAATTATCTTTAAGCATCTGAAAGTTGGTTAACAAGTTCTGCTTGCTCCCTGCTTAATCTAGCTTTTTCAAAGTCCTTTTATATTATGATCTGGTCCAAATCCATTTTGTTTATTAACTAATCAGTTTTTTGGTGCATCTTCCAAATGGTTTAGGTCATGGAGTTATACTCGGATTGTCCTCATTTATCATACACCTTAAATGTTTGATATGTGTATGTATTAAGTCTAGCTCACAAGTTACATCCTTTTTTCATATATCACTGCACTTGGTTCAGTAAGCAGACCTTTATGCACAAATCAACATTAGTACATTACCAATAGAGTTTGGTCAGGTCTCATTAGTAATTCATTTTACAAGTCATGATTTAATGTCATTGTCAGTGTGTGGTCAACTGGTCAAATCCATTCATAAAGCCTTGCATCACTGGTTTTGTAAAGGTTCATGAATAGGGTAGACTGTAAATCTAGTAAATCTAGTAAATCTCGTAAATCTAGTAAACCTAGTAAATCTAGTAAAATCTTGTAAAATCTTGTAAACTTTGTAGGGACCATTCATTTGATATCAATGTCAGTCTCTATGTAAGAGTATTGGTGATTATGATTCCTTTTACAACATTAGAAAAATACCTTCTCTGCATTAAAATTCAGAGTCATTCCTTTCATCAAATAATCAATATACAAATTTTTTAACAAAATTGTGAAATATTATAATAAAAAAGAATGTTTAAGGGGCTGATATGATATGGCTTTAAACTATTAATTACAAGGAATACAAGGAACATATCATCATCAAAACGTAAATGGAAAGCATTGTAGAAATGCCATACTATACTTTATGTATAGGTAAAGCAAATAGATCAATCAGTAAGTTGTCTCACTAGATTCCCCTTACTACAGCATTTGATGTTTTTTTAATTATTTTTTGGGGGTTGGCAAAAATCAATTTTGAAATTGCCATTTATCCATTCCTCTCACATTGGAACTTCTACAAATATTGTCAATTGAACAGCATCTCCAAAAAATAAGCAATAACTAAATTATCTGATAGGCTAAGCATTATAACATTTTGTGAGGGAAAAACAAGCCTGTGTCATTTAGATGGTACGCATTGTCCCCTCAGTCCTTAATTATGTAACTTAATTTGTTAATCACTGTTAATAGAGCATGCTTCTTGGGTGGGTTGTGTATGATGATAAAATGGGTGTACCATTTGATAACCATTTTGTTATCCAGTACTAACATATAGTTGTTTTGTAACTAAATATAATGAAATAAAAGGTAGAATTTTTTCTACATGTTCATTTCATTCATACAAAGGCATTTTCAGTGCTTTTTCGACATTTGCACTTTATATCTTAGACATTGAATAATCAAGTTTTTACAAGATTTTACAAGATTTTACTAGATTTACTAGATTTACTAGTTTTACTAGATTTACTAGATTTACTAGATTTACAGTCTACCCATGAATAGAGACATTTTCATGTAAATTGTATTGAAGAATCCATATATCTCACACATCATTGTCTGTAGTATCCTAGAATATTTAATGGTCCTTTGTTTGATGCCTTCCTCACACAAAACCATCAGGTAAGAGAATGGAAAGGTATTTCCCATTCATTCCGGCCTGGACTGGACGCACCAATGTAATATTAAACATAACATACATGTATGTGTACTTCATAGTTTATTCCAACTCCCTTTTAAATGGTATGAGCTACATTTCATCTCAAAAGCACTGTATATGACCTGTATCTAAAAAGTGTTCTTATATCAAGGTGATCCTCCTTTTTAAACTGAAGTTGTCTGGCTGCTTATCAACTATATTATTCAAAACATTTATTAGTGATCATCTCTTACATGTATTTAGCGAGAAGCAGATCTCATTTAAAGCGGAACCATGTGTCCATAAATCTACAGTAAACACTTTTCCATGTATTTTCCTTGCTTTATCTTATTCCAGCCACTGGTTGGCCACAATATGTTAACAGATCTCTTATTGATGTATTTTCCTTGCTTATCTTATTCCAGCCACTGGTTGGCCACAATATGTTAACAGATCTCCTATTGATGTATGACAAATTCCACCAACCTCTACCTGACTCTTACAAAGAATTCAAAAATGAACTACACCGGATTTTCCCAACAATTATTGACACAAAACACATTTCCTCAAACCTCAGGAAGGTAAGAGCCTTCATTATTTATAGGCATTTGAATAAGTTTAATGGTTTAATGTGCTTCTTCATATGAAAATCTTGTACTGAATTTTATATTGATTCTTTGATTTCATTACAATGACATATCAGTACAGACGTACATGAAATACAGTGTAATTGATCATGGCCTCAAAGATTTTGACCTCTTCAACACAAACTTCTATTTAGTTTCTGGATGAGTAAGGGTTTGAAGGAGAAAAATGTTTTCATCAGTTTTAACAGTCCTATGTCATCATAGAAGTTACGACTCTTTAAATAAATATGGTAGTCTATTTTATACACATAAACCCACTTGCGCCTGGGTGATACCTGAAATGTAATATTCAAAATATAATATTCTATTATATTTCCATTTAATTAAAAATTCACATACATTTAATTAAGTTGCATCACCTTTTTAACATTTTAGCTCTATGAAGGGACTGGTTTAATGGAATCTACAAATCTGATGGATCTCTATACAGCTTTAAATAGGTAAATATTGGTATTTCTGATATGATATATCAATACATAACGTATTATTAATTTCAGACATAGGTCGATAATTTCAAATGACTAGGTCTAGGCATGTCTAAGTAATATATAGGTATATGCACCATATACTGTTGCTTCAAATCATTCAAAAACATACAAAAATGTGTTTTTTCTGTTCTTGCCATTATATACAGAATGTCATTTCTGGATTGCTTTTATACATGTACATGTACGTAGTATCAATGACATATCCTATATACGTAAATCCAATATTTTCATTGTTATGCTGTCTTTCAGCTACAAGGGCAGGTTCAAGGTTCTGTACTCACCTGATATATGTCATGGTGAAGCATTCTGGAGATATGGTAATTAAGCTTATTTCCTCATAACCTTATCATTTTAAAGATCATTGCTTAAAGTCAAGCCAAAGAACTCTCAGCATTACACAGAATATATCAAGAACATAAGCTCAATAAACAGATCTTAAATACATGTACACTCCGCCACTCGTGTCATGACATTGGATTCCTGTCTTGTCCTTTAAATAGCATATATCCTATGCACTGTATATGTAAGTGTCCCAGGTTGGCCCCACTTTTATATATGAGAATATTTGTGTTAACATTTCAGAAAGGGACCATCACCCACATGAAGCAGGCTATGACTCATTCATTGCAGGAAATGGTAAGTACATGGGAACATGGGCATCAAAAGGGGATGGGGGTGGGGTGCGTTCGGTGCACACCCTTCTGAAATTGCCCAGATTGTGTTTTGATGAGATTCTTGGGAAATTTACAAAATATGCTGTTTTTTTTATCAGAAAAGATATGTAGTCCTGCTCAGTTTGCCAAAAAAGATCAACTTTGAAAATAAATTTACTGGGGGATGCCCCCGGACCCCCACAGATGCATGGCCTTCAGGCACACAATCTGTTTACACACCACCTATATTTTCTGAAAAAAATGCACCCCTTTTAAAATATGGTTTCCTCATCCCTAGGTTATGTACAATATTGAATATAAGCAAGAGCAACAGATTCATGAAATACAATATCAACAATTAGATTAAGAGATGGTTTGCGATGTTTTGCTGTACAGTAGTCAATCTGTCCTTTGATGGATGCCAAGATACTGTAGCTGATATGTGATCTCTATTTAGAAATAAAATGTAAAGCTTGGATTACTACCATGTCTCTATTGTTCATTCTTATGTTACAGTTTTCATCAGAATGTGCCACCTATTGTGCAATGAAGGAATCAAGTAGGTGATTGTATTTATTGTATGTATTTCAATTATAATATGATTTTTACAATAACAAGATATGAGAAAAAATGTCATACATTATTTATTTATATATTTCATAATTGAAACATCTGAGAAAAATAACTACTCAAGAGTCAAGATGTCCCCTACCTTCCCATATATACTATTCATAGTTAGTAAAAAGTGTATGAACCTTAATGGAGATAAAATAAGTCATTTGTGGTAAGTGTGATGAACAGGTGATGCCACTGAAGCAAATTTCAAATTCTGCAAAACATTTTTCCCAATTAAGTAACAAAATCAGAACTAGAGGCAGCAGTTCCTGTACTTCCTGAGCCACGAAAAGTCACTGATCTGTGTCAAATTTAGCTGGCCTTGGCATGTGCTCATGTCTTACCTAACCTAAGATGTAAAACAATATTTGAATCTCTTGTAGATCCACTAGTGCTTCTCCCATGGAATTCTACCAGTATATGAGGACCATAGAACCATACAAAAACAAAATCAATGTTATCAGGGCATCACTCAATCATATAGTAAGTGTCATACAGTGAACCATACACTAACCTTAGACCCATACTCAGAGTCAAATGAATACAATTTGCATGTTAATATTTTTTAGCTTTTTTATGATATACTACATTTTAGTTATCTTCTTTGCAACATCCTTTTTCAATTTGATAATATACTGTATTGAATAACATCATTTATTTGGATTTTGAAGGTCTATGTTTTCTTAAATGGCTTGTAAATGTCCACATCAATTTTGAAAAATGGCTTGTAAATGTCCACATCAATTTTGTAAAAATGGCTTGTAAATGTCCACATAAATTTTGAAAAAAATGTCACTAAGTATAATGGTAATTGTAATCATGAGAAGATACTCATCATGCAGCTGATTAGTCAAGATTCTTGTGCTGTACCCTCTAGTAGTGAATGTGTTGTCATTCTAAACTACTATATTTTTATTTATTTTTTATTTATTTATTTGGAAACTACGCTTTTACAACAGCGGCACACAAAAATTGGTGCGTCCATTTAGGATACAGTTACATGAAGATAAAAAAGTAGTCGGTATTATCTAAGACATTGCATTAATAAGTTGACTAAAATCTTAGTTAAAATCATTGTATTATTGATTAAAAAAGATTAAAATAATTTCAACTACACTTGTAGAGTGCCAGTAAGAACTTCTTAGTTACACTATCAAAATTAAGTCCTGCTTCATGTCCCCCAATTTTGAATGCCTCATCACCCAATAACCACTTTAGTTTTGTCGAAGAGTTGGTCTTGATATAGGTATCTAGTATGGGGTAGGGTATGATTGACTTTAAGCTCTTATGAAATTCATTTCTTTGCTCTTCATAGTGTTTGCAATGCAGTAATCTATGTTCAATAGTCTCAATATCCAAAGGACAGAAATCACAGTGTGGATTATTAGATGAGTGGTTTTTCCATTTATGGGTTTCATCATTTAATTGGAACCTACCACATCTTGCGAGGAGTTTTATTCGCGCACCTTGAAATTCAAAATCATTTTCAAGGTAACGTTGGCGCCCTTTTTTATCAAGGAGCTGTCTGTACAAAGATAGTGATGACTTTTCACTAATTTCGTCTTTAATGTAACATTCAATTTTTCGTTCAATATGCATTCTATACTTATGGGACACATCCTCCATGTCATGTTCTATCCCATTTAAATCCAATGAAGTTAAAATGTTATTCATGTTTTCAACATATTTCCAGAAGTTTGTTTTACCTTTGTTGAACCTTTGTATCATATTCGTAAGTAGAAGTTTCAAAAGAGATCCTTCATTTTGATCTTTAAGGTAGAGGAAATATTCTACTTGGCGCTTCATAAGCACAAACTGGATTGGAATCCATCCTAAATCATTTATTACTGCAATATATGCTGGTGTGCTTTTCAAGCTGAATATTGCCCTACCTATTTACAAGTACATATACAAGTACATCAACATGCATCTTAATATTAAATGCCTTTTGTATAGTATTTGAGATTATTTCTAGTGTCTCGATGGTGAAGACCCCATATCTAAAAGACCAGAGTTGCTCTATGTCCAACCAAGGAACCCAGGGAGTAATCTCTCATCAAGTCAGGTATTTATTATCTAATGACATATGAAAATAAAAGCGTATCAGCTTTTTAACGAGATTAAGATGATTTTATTCATTTGTACTGTACATGAACTTTTAAAAGAATATGTGATTTATTTGGCTGTGCTTGAAATAGCTTAATGGACCATCCTTTGTCTGTGCAGCACTGAGCATAAAAATTAGTTCTAGACTAAAGCACATTTGATGTACGGCATCTGTACCGCGGCCGTAGGTTCCCAACATCAAGAAAATTATGTGGCATAAAACACATGTATAAGCAGTACAATGTAGATTTTCTATATCGAATTTATGACATTCTGGTATGCCAGAGCCCCTCTTATCTGCCGATTACGAGAGAACGATGAAGACAAAGGGGGCGGAGTTATCGCGATGATTTTGTGAAGCTCAGCCGCCATACGGCGCTGTAGAGCAAATGTGACTGAGGTTTTACCTGTAAATAGGTTACACAAATCTACAATTACATGTAGTAGCAAACAGATGCAGAGGATAGGTCTTCAGTGTTTTTGTTTTGTATTTTTTCAGCTTGCAATGATGATGTCACAGTTTGGGTCAGTGGACATAAAAATGCAAGGAACAAGGCATGCACTAGTAGCTGTGGGCAACTATAGATGGTACTGTTTTACCTAGACATCTATATAGTAAAACCTGTTTACCTGAACTCCTCTGATCTGCACACCTCTTAATGCGAATGTTCATTAATCTGCCAGAGATTACCATTTTAAAAAACTTTAAAGTGCAAACACCTGCTGATCCAAACACTTTTGGCTGGTCTCTATGGTCTTTGGATAAAACAGGTTCATATCTTATATCTTATTTATTTTTGGGTGTTACATTGTAATCATCCTTTGCTAATGTTTTGATTCACTGTCACTCAGCGTCAAACATTTGTGAGGAGTTGCAACCTCGTTAATAATGGAATTAGAAGAGATAGGAATGAGCTGAGAAAATACATTGTGCAGGGGTCTGTCCAACAGTTCTGCAGCGTTTACTGTAAATATTCTTGTACATACGTGAATATATTAAGCAAATATTTTTATTCTATGGAGGACAATACTTGTTCATCTTTTTATAATTTTGTATTGCCCACAGTCTGTAAGGCATGCTGCAAAAATTATTGAAAGTGCAACAGGTATTGCCCGAACAGAGAATGAAATATTTGTTTTATTATATCACTGCTAGACATTCTCAACAAATATACAGGTAGAATATTTGTTTTAGCCTGTGAACATTTATATTGATCAATGATATATCATAAACCCATAAATTAACTTAATTATGCGAAAGTTATCGTTGTACAGTACATTATTATTTTCGTCCAGTACAGTTGTCAGAATTCCCGGTCGGTCAATACACCTGGATACATGTATAAATTATTATTTGTATTTCATTATTTCAGCATGTGGGATATATTGAAGGCATACAAGAAAGATCCAGATATTGCTGTAGTTAAATATAACTATTGGAGACATTCTCAAACAGCTAGAAGACTTTTATGGTAAGCCACCCTTCCATTAAGCATTATTGTGTTAATCGAATCTTCAAATTGTGTCTGCAATTTCTTTTCTGTAGGTTTCCATACAATTTTTCTTGAATGTTATTAGTTTGAACATCTACCTATTTGTGTTTCGGGGTTTGATGAGAATATATGAATTTTCGGACGTTTCATCTTAGTTAAATCTTATTTGCATACAAAGGGGGGAGGGTGGCAACCCACACTACTGTACTCACATACTACTCGCAAGATTCCAAGCTTAGCTTTTTTCATAAACACCTTTCAAGTGTATAAGAATGTTAACCCTGTGCCTTTATTGTAGTTTTTGTCTTTCCCCTATTGGCGTTCGAGCTTACATGTTTAGAAAAAATGTGTGAGACGCTAAAATTGCTCCGATTACTTGATGGAGAAACAATCTAAAGTTTACTTGAAGCTTTTGTAATTGGGTTTATATTTGACGTTTCATTTATTGCAGGAGTGGTGTTTTATTAGGAGGTGGTATCACACTATTGGCTCTTGTGACTTCTAATACAAAACACAGATGATCTGAATGGAAACTACTGCATTAGATACTGAAATATAATATCTCTATCAGTCAGCTGTGTGTTATGCATGTACTTCATGCATTGTGAAATTATAGATTGTGCAATCATGGATTTTGAGACTAGAGATTGTGAAATTATGAATTGTGAAACTATGGATTTTGCAAAAAACAGATTGTGGAACTTTGGATTGTGCAAACAACAGATTGTGAATTCATGGATTGTGAGGTTAGTGATTGTGAAATAATGGATTGTGAAACTATGGATTGTGCAAACAACAGATTGTGAAACTATGGATTGTCCGAACAGATAGTGAAACTATGGATTGTGAGATTACAGATTGTGAAATTATGGATTGTGAAACTATGGATTTTGCAATCAACAGATTGTGAAACTATGGATTGTGCAAACAACAGATTGTGAAACTATGGATTGTGCAAACAACAGATTGTGAAATTATGGATTGTGCAAACAACAGATTGTGAATTCATGGATTGAGAGATTAGTGATTGTGAAATAATGGATTGTGAAACTATGGATTGTGCAAACAACAGATTGTGAAACTATGGATTGTCCGAACAGATAGTGAAACTATGGATTGTGAGATTACAGATTGTGGAATTATGGATTGTGAAACTATGGATTTTGCAATCAACAGATTGTGAAACTATGGATTGTGCAAACAACAGATTGTGAAACTATGGATTGTGCAAACAACAGATTGTGAAATTATGGATTGTGCAAACAACAGATTGTGAATTCATGGATTGAGAGATTAGTGATTGTGAATTCATGGATTGTGAAACTATGGATTGTGCAAACAACAGATTGTGAAATTATGGATTGAGAGATTAGAGATCAGGGTTCTCACCAGGAAATTTTTAGACCCCGGATTTTTAGCGGTATTGTGACTACTTTTTTGTGGTATCGCGACTACTTCTCCCCCATGTGAGATCAGAGATATCCTATTAGTATACTTTTCAACATGCTTCTTAAGATTATCTTGCTATTTTAATCCCAATATTTATTTCTAAAAGGTTTCTGACTTCCTATGCCTTGTTTGTATCCAGTTTTATGTATTTTCTCAAGAGTTTTACCGCAAATAATGTGACAAAAATGTAAAATTAGACTCCGGAAACAACACTTTAGACTCAGGAAAAGCTATTAGACTCTGGAGTAAGAGGGTTTTAAGACATTATCTAAAAGACTAGTGAGAACCCTGGAGATTGTGAAATACTGGATTGCGAAACTGTGGATTGTGCAATCATGGATCATAAAATCATAAAGGAGTGGTATTGATATGGAGAACTGAATTCAACAATGTTTTTCTCTTAAACCAATCATTGAAAACATTCTGTAAAACACGGTATTTTATGTAATGTTGACTGATTGACAACAATTTGATGCAAAAATTATTTAGAAATCTCTAATGTAACTGTTTTTGTTAACATTTTTTAGTGCAATTGTTTTTGCTCCTTTCTACCAATTCTTGAGAATGAAATAAAATGTCTTTCCAAACCTTGTTGGAACAAAATAGCATATACAACATGTTTTTAGACCTCTCAATATTATAGCTATACAAAGAAATTTTTGGTTGATTTTAAAAAAGTATTCAAAAAATTTAAACAAAATCCCCCCAAAATAGATAAAAATCAAAACAAACCTTTTATTTCATTAACAAGATACTTTTTTAAAATCAACCAAAATTTCCTTTGTACAATTACAATATTGAGAGAGCTAAACATGTTGTGTTTATGTCGTTTTGTCCCAATGAGGTTTTGAAAGATGTTTCATTTCACTCTGGAAACATAATACCAAGAACAAAACAAGTGTTTGATGTGTTTTCTAAAACAATATAGATGAAAGTATATATATACTTTTTATTAAATTATATTGTTACCATTCAAAAGATGACCATTAAATTGACGATGTGTTAAATTTTTAGATTTTTTTGGTGACTAGTTTAAGAGAAACATGCGCTCAAAAAGTTCTCCATATTTATACCACTCCTTTGTAAAAGCAAATCTTTGCATTTTTATTTTGAATTTTATTTCAGTATACTGCTAAACAGTGCTACAGGAAGAAATAAAAATAAGACAAAGTATTTTCAATTTGAATCTGTTCAAGTTTGTTATCCAAATGTCCAACTTGTCACACCGGACAATATTTTCTGGTTATAAATGCCCATGGATATGTATATAAATGATGTCTCTGTATAATTAATAGTTCAATGACATACAAAACCGTTCATGTAATACTACTATGTCGCCAAAAACCAGTGATGATTCCCGTGGTGCTATAGCTTTAGTAATGATTCAAGTCAGTGAATTGAGTGCAACTATGCATGAAAATAAGCTTACATGTTCTAATACAAGTTATTTAAAACGTATTATTTAAAACTTTTGTCATGTTGGAGACAATTACCAGTATAATCAAGATGCAGAGATTTTCACCAGAACGCCATCTTTCTTTCATCATAAAAGTTTATTTTTTATATTATAAAGATTAATTCACTCAGAATGAAATTCATAATTTAAATTGCAAACCCTTTCTTCTAATCAAGCCACCACAATGAGTTGAGGGAATGTTACAATAATATAAAGTTTTAGAATTGCATGAAGTTTATATTGGTGCAGGCATTAGACAGAGACAAAACTCCAATGAAGCTATGTACCAAAAACTAGGAGACAGTTCAGCAAACAGTGGTGGGGACATTGATCAGCAGTAGACATGGAATTATTACACCAAAAGTAGTGCGGAAATGGCCTTTTCACGTGTTGGCATAAAGTTTTGATGACATTTAAAGACATAGTTCCTCTTTCACGTATATTATCTCATGGAAATGGGCATACCAGCGCAAAGATCTTTGTTCCGTGGTATAGAAAAGGTATCAAACATTGTCTGAAGAGCAGATTTATCTCCGTAATTCTACTTTTAGCATGGCGACCTTGACCTTGAAAAAATAAAGCCATTTGGGCGATAATAGGTGATTCAAAAGTGAAAATTAGTGCTTTTTTCGTAGTTTTACTTTGACCAAGCCTAGAAAAAAATCGAAGTGGTAAACCTACCCCCAATTTTTGACATTTTTGTTGTCTAGAAGTGTCCTAGATGATATCAAAGTTTAAGAAAATTTGTATGTCTAGAAATATTTTATAAATTAGTGCCATTATGGTGGGTTTGGGTGCTTTTTTGCTCTCATTTTTTACCCCATTTCTACGGTTGCCATGGCAACTATAAGGCTTTGGTAACCATGCCAACTTGATTTTTGAAGGACATCCACCTGATAGTAGTTGGGCCAAGTTTGAAGGAAAATAGGCCTGGTTTGATACAAAATTTGAAATCAAACCGCCGCGATTTTGTTCACTTCAACATTTTAATCGTGACTTATGGCCTTATTTCGAAACAAAAAACTCAAAAAATCACAAAGCCTCGAAACAAAACGTTTTTTGACAAAAAGCCTCAAATAAAACGTTTTATACACAAAAAAGCCTCGAAACAAAGCGCTTTTTGACTGAAGACCTCAAATAAAACAAAAGACCTCAAGTAAAACAAACAAAGCCTCGAAACAAAACGTTTTTTGACAAAAAGCCTCAAATAAAACGTTTTATACACAAAAAAGCCTCGAAACAAAGCGCTTTTTGACTGAAGACCTCAAATAAAACAAAAGACCTCAAGTAAAACAAAAAAAAGCCTCGAAACAAAACGTTTTTTGACAAAAAGCCTCAAATAAAACGTTTTATACACAAAAAAGCCTCGAAACAAAGCGCTTTTTGACTGAAGACCTCAAATAAAACAAAAGACCTCAAGTAAAACAAACAAAGCCTCGAAACAAAACGTTTTTTGACAAAAAGCCTCAAATAAAACGTTTTATACACAAAAAAGCCTCGAAACAAAGCGCTTTTTGACTGAAGACCTCAAATAAAACAAAAGACCTCAAGTAAAACAAAAAAAAGCCTCGAAACAAAACGTTTTTTGACAAAAAGCCTCAAATAAAACGTTTTATACACAAAAAAGCCTCGAAACAAAGCGCTTTTTGACTGAAGACCTCAAATAAAACAAAAGACCTCAAGTAAAACAAACAAAGCCTCGAAACAAAACGTTTTTTGACAAAAAGCCTCAAATAAAACGTTTTATACACAAAAAAGCCTCGAAACAAAGCGCTTTTTGACTGAAGACCTCAAATAAAACAAAAGACCTCAAGTAAAACAAAAAAAAGCCTCGAAACAAAACGTTTTTTGACAAAAAGCCTCAAATAAAACGTTTTATACACAAAAAAGCCTCGAAACAAAGCGCTTTTTGACTGAAGACCTCAAATAAAACAAAAGACCTCAAGTAAAACAAACAAAGCCTCGAAACAAAACGTTTTTTGACAAAAAGCCTCAAATAAAACGTTTTATACACAAAAAAGCCTCGAAACAAAGCGCTTTTTGACTGAAGACCTCAAATAAAACAAAAGACCTCAAGTAAAACAAAAAAAAGCCTCGAAACAAAACGTTTTTTGACAAAAAGCCTCAAATAAAACGTTTTATACACAAAAAAGCCTCGAAACAAAGCGCTTTTTGACTGAAGACCTCAAATAAAACAAAAGACCTCAAGTAAAACAAACAAAGCCTCGAAACAAAACGTTTTTTGACAAAAAGCCTCAAATAAAACGTTTTATACACAAAAAAGCCTCGAAACAAAGCGCTTTTTGACTGAAGACCTCAAATAAAACAAAAGACCTCAAGTAAAACAAAAAAAAGCCTCGAAACAAAACGTTTTTTGACAAAAAGCCTCAAATAAAACGTTTTATACACAAAAAAGCCTCGAAACAAAGCGCTTTTTGACTGAAGACCTCAAATAAAACAAAAGACCTCAAGTAAAACAAACAAAGCCTCGAAACAAAACGTTTTTTGACAAAAAGCCTCAAATAAAACGTTTTATACACAAAAAAGCCTCGAAACAAAGCGCTTTTTGACTGAAGACCTCAAATAAAACAAAAGACCTCAAGTAAAACAAAAAAAAGCCTCGAAACAAAACGTTTTTTGACAAAAAGCCTCAAATAAAACGTTTTATACACAAAAAAGCCTCGAAACAAAGCGCTTTTTGACTGAAGACCTCAAATAAAACAAAAGACCTCAAGTAAAACAAACAAAGCCTCGAAACAAAACGTTTTTTGACAAAAAGCCTCAAATAAAACGTTTTATACACAAAAAAGCCTCGAAACAAAGCGCTTTTTGACTGAAGACCTCAAATAAAACAAAAGACCTCAAGTAAAACAAAAAAAAGCCTCGAAACAAAACGTTTTTTGACAAAAAGCCTCAAATAAAACGTTTTATACACAAAAAAGCCTCGAAACAAAGCGCTTT